TTGCTCAGGTGTCTGCTTTGAACACGTTTTCTGGGTGAAAGGCAGCTTGTGTGGGAGTGCAGCAGAGGCTGTGCAGGCAAGAAAAAAGGAAAGAAAATCCCCAATCTACTCTCATTTATGAAGGAAACAGAAACCAGCTAGTTGTTTTTATTGGATTAAAAAGAAGCCTATCAAAGTTTTGCTTGTTTCTAGATTATCCAGTATTGGTCTTCTTGGAAAAATGCTCCATCGGTGTAAAGCAGAGGCCTTGGTGTTTGTTGACAGAGTCTGCCCCGTGTAGGAGGATCCCTAACTGTAATTTCATGTAGTAGCTGATGTAGCTTTAAGACAGCCGTTTGATCTGAGCCATAAGTGGGTGTAGTTTGACTCCAACGGCGCTGTCATTTTAGAATGCAGTTTATTCCCATGTTCAGCCCCTACCACCTGCAAAAAGTCGAAAGTCTTTGATGATAGGATATTCCTTTCTTCTTCCCAAGACTTTGTTCTCATGGAGAATTTGTTACATGAGGAGAACATCACGTTACTCTGTCTGCCAAACTCCAGTTTATTCTGGACAAATCCCTGCTAAGAAAGAATCAAATTTTCCATCTGCATCCCTAAAATGGGCATAATGAGTGTGAGGAATCAACAAGATGCCAGCTTTCTCATCGGTTAATTAAACACCTTCAGATCTGAGCCTCATCTGAAAAGGTGTTGATTTATCTGGGTTAGAAATGTGAGAAATGTCAAGTTTTGTTAACTTCAATATAACCTTCAATTAGACTGAACTTATCAGCTCTCTGAAATCTGAGTGAATGCCAACTCGTGGGCTGGTAATGGCCAGAATAAATTTTTGATGAAAGCAGATTGAAGTCCGTCCTCACCACTTAAGAAACCCTGGCAGAGACATACCATTTTTGGAGTAGATTTTTCCAGAAAGTGATTTTCACAAGGTAAAGTGTCCTCCTAACTGGGCAAAAACATTAGATTTGATTTCCCTATCTATACTCTTTGCACATTGTTTTATTAGTGGCTATAAACATTTTCTTTTCTTTTTTTACACATGTGATACTTCTTAAATAGCCATTTTTACATTGCTGAAGGCAATTGTCCTTTGGCGTTTATAAAGAAAAAGGGTTGGTTGATATAAAGAAAAAGACCTCAGACCTGGTTTAACCATCTGCGGAAGTTCTGCAGAGCCTCTTAAGAATAATCCTTTTGTTTACAAAGTATTAAAGAAATAGGTTGACATTTGGAGGAACATTTAATCTCTTGGCAAGAGTTTTAAGCAAAGATGGCAGCACTGTTGTGTATGTAGAGAGAGTGTGCGGCTGCAGCCAGGGGCTAGGCAGCTTGGATGAGCTACCTATAGCCGCTGGCTGTCGACTAGACAGAGGGAAGAGCATCCAGCGTTGATTCTTATGAAAGGTAACTAAATCAGGCTCTCAGGTTCCCTCAAGGATGTTATAGATTGGTACACATCCAGTGAAGAAATGCCGAAAAAACATTTTCCCTGCTAGAGAAAAAATGACTACTATAACGGTGACAATTCTTTTTGACAAACTCTTGTTTTTGTACATACATGGAAGCTGGTGTTGCAGAACCAGTTAACTGTTTAAATGCTGTCTCCATTTCCATGCTCCATTCACATTAAATCCAACTTGTTGTTGAACACATATGGAATTCATTCTTTTTAATTCTCACCGGATTAGAAGGATATACTATTAAATGCATAATCACACATTATACATTCATGCTAAAAAAAGAGAGGGTCATCTTTAATCCTAAATTATTTCTCATGAGGATACTATTGGAAAATTGTACATCTCTTGACAAGTTCTGAAATGTTTTTTTAAAGCAGAAATTCAGAAGCAGTGGCTGAAAATCTTGACATAGCTTCTTGTTAGAAGACTTTCAAAATCAATTACTTCAAGAAGTTATCTATTCTGTCACGTAATCAATTTTATAACTTTGGAATAGTTTTTTCATGTTCAGTTAAATTTTTCTACAGAACGAAACCTAGTGGTGATGTTGACTGCTGGAAAAATGGCCAGCTGCCTTGTAAATTTAGCACTTGTGTTTATCTTCCTCAGATTTTAATGCGGGACTTCAAACACATTGTAAAAGACAGAATAACCCCTCCCAGACCATATTCTCCATTAAACATTTAAACCTGTGCTCTGATACAAGTGCTCAGACATGCAGATATTGTTTCACCTTTATCGTTAATCAGCTAATTGTGTTTTAATTGACTGGCAGACACTCTTAATTCCTGCGGATGCTGTCAGGACGGACCTTTTTTTTTATATATGTGCTTCTGCATTCTGTCATAGTATTAGTTAAAGAAATAATTATGACACGATTTACTTTGTCATTTCTCCTTTTGTTTATATGCATATTCTCTTTTGAATAACAAATAGCACCTTGCAAACCATATGGAACCAGTGGTGAAAGATATGTAGGACAATGCAAATGAAATGCACGAACACATGAAATTTTGTACTGAAGATTTTTGCATATTCCACCCGGTAGGCTATGTCAATTTCTGAACACTTACTTCCTGAATTTGCAGGGGGAAATGAGAAAGGGAACATTGGGACATTTGTAGTACTGTGTGTGGCTGAGAGTAATTCAGCAGAAGTTACCTCTATCTGTCAAACAGAAGCATGATGTACACTGAAAACACATTCTCTTCCTCCTGGCACTCCCATCTATCACCGGTTTATGGCCACTCTCCACAGGCTGGCACATTTCTGCTGTGGCATCCATCTATGTCAATGTCCTGACTTGCATATCCAGGGGCCTGTCTTGTTTCTCTGTCCATAGTGTTCTTACTGCAGTCTTGATAGGTTTCACCATATGTTTTATTTACATATTGAAGCCACTGTGGATGCTTCTCTGTAGATAGTGCCATGGGAAAGGTTTTTTCTTGTTAAATGATGGCTGAAGTTTGAACCTTTCTGACAAGTGTCTGAGATTGTGTGTAAAACTAGTTGGCAAAAAAAGCTGTTGTCTTATTGATGCCTCAGCTCGTTTTGACAACAATAATTTGGGGTGTACTATCAAGTATTCAAGCTGCCAACTCTTCGAGTTACATTGTCAGATCTGTGCAATGGCAAAAGCTTTTTTATTCTTTATTAGATATATGTATCTGAAAGCAAATATGATGAGTGTTATGTCCTTTCCAAAGACACTAGTCCTAAATATGTGAATTCCTCTGCTTCTGTGCCAGTTTTTAAAGTAAAGACTTCCCAAACTTCCTCAGAACATCACATTGTGTTTTTTGCTAGAATGCTGTGTGTGTGGCAGGTAAACGTTAGAGGATCTAAATGATCCCACAGAAGTGCTACAGCAGGCTGAAGTGTCCCCAGCCCACAGCGAGATTTTAGTGCTGCTGCTCGTGCTTATCACGGTGCTGCAGTGTTGGGGAGGAGCTGAAATATGCAAACAGCTGTAGCTCGTGGCGGCGTCTCCCCCTTCTCTAGACACAGCAGCTTTGGTCACACACTATGTGTTGGTACGTTTGTTAATCCTCTTTATTAGCCAATAAAGCCCCATTACAGTTGCCACAACAAGTCTGCAAGTTGCATACAACAGTGTGAACAAGTGAGTTTTGTTAGAGGGGAGCGCTGCTGAGGTGTAACTAATACATCTTTTGTTTCTTGTTATTCTGATCATGAGAGAAAGAAAATAAGGTTCTTGCACCAGGTCTGCATCCATTTGCATGCATGTCATGCACATAAGCATGTGAGAAGGTTCCATTCTCTTCTGCTCATTTCTTTTTGAGAAGACGTTTAAATAAGTAGTTCATTTCAGAGGCAAGTGGTCTGCATGCACTTGTAAGTATTTCCCCTTTGGCGTTTGTATTCAGGCGCTTTTCTACCATCAGAGGGCACTAAAAATCCACCTGATGCTTTCAAGCATGAGGATGACCATTGAAATAAAGCTGCATCATTTTTACTGACCTGATGCCCAAAAGAAAAAGCTTTTCATATTCATTTGTATCTAGAATGTTATATCTACATGTAACAAATAAATACGCTCTGCCAAAGCAGCAATATCTTGTATTAGAGAGACTTAGATGACCTGAGGTGAGAATGAGCCAGTTTTGTTATTGTTAATAACAATTACTTTGGAAGGACGCCAGTGAAATTGGAGGATTAATTGCCTGAAAAAAATTACTTTTCCACTTGATAGGAGATGATGGCTCTGCACCTAACACCTGATAACAAATTTTGCTTGGACGATAAAATGACAAAATTGTGATTAAAGAATAATTTGAGTGCACTTCAAACAGAAGAAGTTGTTCAGTTTTTAGGCGGCTTTTCCCAACAAAACTGTCTCCTTACCGCTTTTTTTTATTGATAGTATTCAATTACTAATCCTTCCATAATGCCAGTACACTATACTTGCACCTTTTACTGATCCAAGTAAAAAAAACAACACATAAAATAATCAAATCAAATGATTATGAGTTATCATATAGCCTGCATGTTCACATAATTTCAAACGACAATAATATACACAAACCTCACGCAGGGTTAATCCTACCGGCGGCGTGCCTACGCTGCTTCCTGAGAGGATGAACAGTGACACATGATGAGTTTAGTGTCCTGAGGTTTGCGCGCAAGACAGTCGGAGATCTGCAGACTGCCGTTTACAACCCGGTCCTTTAGGCTCGGCGGGCAGATTAGGCGACCTACCCGATCTGAACGACGCTGCACCGTTTCAACTCACGTCCTCCAAGCGGATACAAAGTTTTAAAAAGGGAGACATTTCCCTGATCGTTACGCACAACTTTTTACGCACAGCCAAGAAGCTCCAGATGAACACATCTCAATGCGCGGTCCGTGCCACCTGCAACGCGGACTTCACCACCACCATTTACGCGTATACAGGTGCGAGTATGTTGAGTGCGCGAACTGCAAGAATGAATTAAACAATTTGCTCCCTGCTCTGCTGAAACTACCACACGGACGATGGGGGGTCGCCTGCAACAGCGATCGGCGTGGCGTGCCAAAATGAGCTTTCACTGTCAGAGCTGGATGGTCTTACAGATTGTTTTTGCAACAGTAATCACACAAGGTAAGCAATGTGGGGATAAGTGTGTGTGTGTGTTTGGATTTTAAGGAAATAAAAATAGGCTTCTAACAAGGAATCAAGAGCAGCCTAAGTGCAGCGAAGTCTCCTAAGCTTCTTGGGACAGCCCCTTTTAATCTTTGACTGTGTCCACGGTGCCTTTGACAACACGTGAAAACTAATGAGCTCGTTCGCGTGCGTTATTGTCTTGATTGGGGAACCACCTCACTGGAACCATCTGTAAAGCAGCCTAATCTAAAAGTGTAAATACATGTCCCCATTTGCATTTTAATTTACGTCTTACTCGACACTTACTTGGCTTCACAGCATGGTAAACAAGATCATAATTACGTTTCTCAGTTTCTGGCAAACAGGTGTTAAAGTAGTATCAAACATTTAGGAATAAATAGATATGATGGGTATTGAACCAAATTTGACAGCTGCCACAACGCATTTTCTTCATACACTTTCTCTTGACATGGATGGTATCCCAGTAAAGCCCTGAACTCAGTTTTACACTCAGCAAGGCAAACGTGTAGCAGAAATTTACATTACAAGCATAATGGTTAAAAGGATGGGAGGAAAGCACATCAGAGAGACATCAACAGCATAGCCCAGAACTGCTCCTCAGACAGCCATTTCTTGGGAAAACACATGGATTGATTTTTAATAAGACGAAAAAAAAATCTAGAAAATTGTAATAAAACTGATTTTTAAAGCAGCTTTGAGAGTTTAATTTGAAATAGCAATCCCTACGAATCACAGCATAAGCTTAAGCCTCCCTCAATCTCTCTGACTTTCCTCCGCCTTCTCTTTCCTTATCTTCCCCATCCTGTCTGCCAATATTTTATAGCCTCGATTCCTATATTACAAGACATTAAAAAGTGTTTAAAGCGTACAAAAAAACAACAAAAACTTAGATTTGCAAACGCTTCTTGAATGAAGAGACTGGAAAGAGAAAAGTAAGATACTTTAGCCAGGGCCTGATTTTCAGCTTTTGCTCTATGATGAGACATTTAACATTAAACACCATACATAATAGCTAAGTGAACCAGAAAACAAATGTACTGTTGGACTGAAATGATTATTTTGGGTTAAACTTCACGCAGTGTCACAGTACAGACTACTGTGCAGAGCAAACCCCTAATGTTTGTGACTATGAATTTAATTGTGCCCATAACATTTAACTAGATCCCATAAGTATATCAGATTTGAGCATTTTGGATTTAAACACACAACTTAATCAAAACCACCTTAACGCCTTGCATTCCACATGGCCCCTTGTTATCTTCACTGAACAGGCTGCTGTAACATCGTGCGCTTCCCCCATTATGGGACTAATAAAGGGCAATCTCATCTTATTATATCCAACAATGACTTAACTTTCTGCAGCATTTTACAAAAGTCCCGAGTGCACCGGCAGCGAGTCTGTCCGCCACTTTACGCTGCGGTTTATTTCCCAAGTGGCTAAGGGTTCCAAAACACAACACTAACAGACATCCTCGTACGTAAGGACCTCCTCATTGGCAACCTGTCAGAACCTAATGAGATTCCTTAATGCTCTATTAAAGGTGGTGCAGTGGAGAAGTCAGTTGGTCAAAAGGTTAAAACAGGCAGAACTTTTCACCGACTCGGGTGCGTGATTAGTGTTGGCAGCATCTTGATAATTGCCAACGTTTTGTTATTTCTTAGTATTGACAGCCAGCTTAATTCTATTCACGTCATCAACAGTGGATCTAAAGCCTTCAACAGCAGCGGGGAAGAACATTTTTGGTCTCTCAGTTACTAATTAAAACACATAAACCCATTGCCATTGTGTGATGAATCTGGGAGCGTGAAGCTGTGCTGCACATATGGTAAAAACCATTAGTGCACATTAGAATTCACAGTGGACGCGAATGCTTTGTGTATTTTTGATAAAATGATACAAAGATTAATTACAAGGTTAGAAATCATTTTAAAATACAAACACAATGAGCAGCCACTGGTTACCATGCCAATGCTGAGAAGTGAAGACAGAGCTGCAAAACAAGCAGCAGGGAAAAAATATTCTCCAGTACATGCAACAGGGTTTTTTACGGGTAAATAATGGTAAATATGTTACCTCAGTGGAGGTACTAAAGTTATGAATGATTCACTGTCTTTCACTTCCATTTTAATTCTGTCTGAATGTTGTATCTCATTTCCTTGGATAAAAATTGTGATGGGATTTTTAAAATAAATATGATTGAGTTTATGTCGAAGGCGTGCTCTGACTCAGTCAAGAAGAAGAGGGTCAGTTATTTTGAAAGAGAGATTTGAGAGGAAGGAACAGCTGGGGCAGCTCGTGAGGCGGATTTTCTCTCGTTCTCATCAGTTAAAGGCACATATCTTGTCTCGATAGACATTTAGCTTGTATTCCTTGCTCATAATATCCAGGCAAAACGAAGGGGGCCAGAAATGCCGTTTACAAAGATACAAATGTTGAATCTAAAAGCGCTTCATTTACGATATGTCACAAGGTCACCTAAGTGAGGATGATCTTGCGTGTGTTATGACTTGTTACTACAGTGTTGGCATTTCCCCCTCTTGTACACAGTAAGCTAGTTTATTATTAACTCCAACAGGAGCTCCTGCCAGCTATGGTATTACATAGCACATCTGTCACTGTGGCCACTGGCAGACAGTCAGTGAAGCCCAGTTCCTGACTTCAGTCCCTGCATCATGCAGCGTGTCAGCCCCTCAGTGAACATGACTGACACTTTTGTCTGTGTGTGTGGAAAAAAGAAAAATAAAGGATGCTGCTGCATTCCTCAGCGGGCTGCTCAGTAGATCTGGTTATGACATGTATGGTGTAGTCATTCCTTTTTAGAAGCACCAGGCCGTCTTGACAGGCCTTTTTGCTGGGGTGGAAGAGTGAGGATGAAAGACTGAAGAGAACATGGCAGAGGAACTCATCAAATGTCAGCAGCTATGAGGGATATGACAAATTATTTTAATATAAAGTTTCATATCCTCCTAACTGCCTGCTTGAAATCAATAATTCAGGGACAAACAACCCCCCTGAGATGCCCTTAGTTAGTTCATACATATACATTTGTATGTATATGAGTATGTATAATTAATTGATTTTATCTTGATGTACGCAGTTATTTTAAAAAACGGAATCTATCTCAGAGAGTGCCTCTTTTCTGTGCTGCTTTGAGTTTCAGTATTGGGCTGATACTTTTTTAGAATAGACATTGTTTAAGTTTGTGGTAATAAGCTTAGTCCAAGCATCAGCTGCAGGTCATTATATCCTGAAACAGAGCAAACATCATTATATTTTGTTCCTAATCCAGATAAACAGTGCATGCCTGCACAGCACTTGCCGTAATATTCATAATTTTGTCAAAATGGGTGTTAATGTCAAAACATATTTGCTGGTCATATTCATGTGATTGTCCACTGAGGCACACTCACTATTAGGCTTATAAAGCAGATCAGGCAACATTTGTTCCTGGTCATTAAACAAAAGGACAACCTATAAGTGAACTTATTAGTTTAAAATGTAATTAAATGGTAATTAATCCTTTATTGAACCATTTAGCATTACTTAAGTGTACAATAGCACAAAACAACTGCTGCAGTTTGTATTTGAATTAGTTACTTTTTCCAGGTGCTTTTGTATTTTTAAATTTTCATTTCAATCTGCTCAATTTGAAAAGCCATTTTATTTCAGTTATTCCCTAATATATCATATTTGCACCCCCTAATATTGTTCTTTGTGAAAACAATTTGCAATTATTTTCTCTGCTATTAACTTGACTTGCTTCTCACTGTCTCCCAGCATTGATGAAATTGGGATTGAAAATGAATGTATGACACTGTTAGATAATAATAAAACAACTTGTTTTCATTGAAGAGAAATTTAAAAAAAATCAGGCTTGGCCATTCCCTGCGTTTACACTTAGCAAAAAGGTAAGATTTAAGCTACCTTTCAGCTGAGAAATGTCTGGCTTTTGGTAGATGAATGAAGTTTTAACTTATTTAACTCACATTTAGGTCAAGAGTTATTCAGATGCAGTCCACTCTAAACCAAGGACACTGCTTGCTCAGCATAATGGTTTCAAGGCTGTACACGAATTCCATTTCATTATTAGACAATTAGAACTGGATACATAAAAGTTTTAGGAGCTCATATTGTTTGTCATACTATGCACAAGGGGCACTCTTTAAGCTTAAGCTCAGAAGCCGATTTATTTCTTTGATGCCCTACTCAGCTGATCACTTGGCCTTGGCAGCCCTCCATGCTTAAGTATTTGCAGTTTATTCTCCATGTATTAAATTCTTAAGCTATATTATTTTCTCCAGATCATGTGACTTAGATATGTGTTACTAAGATATCCCCATTTCAACAAGCCTGCTACAATGCAATATTCTTATCTTACAGATTTGAGCAGTAAAGAAGCGACAGACAGTAAGAGCCCAGTGCCTTTCCCTGTCTTCTTGCCAGTTGACTACGAGGTTCGGGATTCTGACTACCTCTTCCTTAAGGAGGCTGGCCAGGACTTCATGAGGAACTCCAGCATGCAGAGCCACACGCAGCCCTTTGTTATTTTAAGAGCCAGCCGCCAGCCAACTGTCAATGCCAGCTATGGCAACATGTCCATAGCGAGGGCTGTACCGCTGGATCTGGTCCAGTCCATGCAGCTCTTTAATGCCCCAGAGATCTTTACGTTTAACTGGAAAATCCAGGCCTTCATGCTGACGCCTCTGGTTTTCTCCTCCAAGCCCAAAGTGCGGGTCCTCTTCTATGTGGCAGGGAGAGATTGGAACAGGGGCCAGGGAGCTGTGGATGAGCTTCCATGTGTGACAGTTTATGCTTTCTGGCAAACTCAGGAGGTGAGGGGTTCCTGTGCCAACGGATGGGAGAGGGGGACCTGCATGGCTGAGCTGGCCCCCGCACCTGGCTGGTTTTCTCCGGGGGTGGAGGGCACCAGCAGGGAGAGGCAAGATTCGTCCGCCGGGAACCCTGTGGAACTGTACTACCAGGCCCGGCCTAGAGTCAACGGGAAATGTAATTACGTGGACGGAAACCGTTGGGGCGGCTCGCTGCAGCCGGCCGAGTACGTTCCCGTCACCCCCATGCAGAGGATCGGAAGCGTGCGTCTTCTTCAGGTACCTAAAGGAATGGCGACGCTATCGCGGCTCAAGCTGGGCAACGCAATTGTCATACGGACATCCTCCAAGCCTCTGAAAAAGACAGACATTGCGACTTTCTACATACTCATGGCCAGCTCTGTTCAGCTTACTAACTTCACTCTAAGGTACAGTGGCTTTATGGTAAGGATAGATCTGCAGTGATGGGAGGGACTGCATGGTAACGCTGCGGGAAAAAACAGTTTTTCTGGTCAATAAGAATTCAAAATGGGAAGTTGTTTCCCTGAAAGTATTAGTCATTTTCCCTAATTCTTGTGTAAATCCTGTGGCATCAGAAATAATGCCATATTAGGGGCAGCGAGATTCGACATGGATTATGGAATTTCTCTGAAAATATCATGGTGGTCTTTCTGAGAAATGGAAAGATTATTTGCTTGTGTGCAGCTTGATGACATTAAGGGCGGTTTTAAGAGTGGTAGGCTGACACGGATCAGATAAAGTAATGTGTGACTCTTAATTCTTAAAGGGTATGCCGTGTCTGCTATTTCAGGGCAATGCTGGTGAAGTTCATGTGGATTAGTAACATAGCTCATCATGAGTTAAGACTTCTGATTTTACAATGCAAAATGTTCCTGTTTGACTTTAAGAGACGAGCTGAAAGTCTTTTGCACTTGTGTTCCAATATTTTGAGAAAGAATAAGTTTTATATCTCCCTTGAATGGATGACTAAACAACCTAATTTATTATCCTCCATAGAGAGAGATGAATACGAGAAAAACAAAGAAAATCAAGAATGGCTTTTTTCCTCGTGGCTTTTTGTCGATTTGTTTCCCCAAATGATGGAACACAGGAAATTGGAAGATAATTCAATTATTTTAACTTGCTGGCAGTATTCAGTAATATTTTCACGACCATCCACAGCCTTTTGTTGTAGTCATTCACCTGAAGACCAAACAGAACTACACGGAAGCAAAGCTAGATTAGTCGAGGTCATCTGTCAGAGCAGACGGACAAAGATTTACACTAATGACGGAAAGATTGTTTTTTCTTTTCATTATCATTCAAGACACTATTTGCTTTATACCAAGCTGTTGACTAATGATCTGTCAGAAGCGATAAAATGTTTTTCCTCTCTAAAACTTCTATTATTAATTTGGTTTGTTTGAGCACGTCATAAATCCGTCATTTTTGACTGACGCATACTGAATTAAAACCAGGCCATACAGTCCATTAAGACCAGGGTTCAAAAGTAGAACAATAGTCCCACTCCTTGCTTATATATTTAAAAAAAAAATTGAGATGTAAAATCAATAATTTTTTAAAACTTTTCTTTTTTACTTCCAACTTGGCCTTCATATGCATGCCCCAGTGGAGGTATGTAGTTGAGGAGACAGTTATGGATTATTAATTCTCTTTTTCAGTTGAGTTGTGAATGCTGGAGAAGGTAAAAATAGATTTTCCAGACAAGTGTGTATTGACTTACTAGTTTTGTTCATCAGCTTTCCACGTTACACTCAAGTATTGGTACACCAAAGTGGGGAAGAAATGGAAGGTATTTAATCATATCTTTCATTAGTTTTAGAGCTTCCAGGGGTATTGTGGGAGCTATTAGATTATTTTATAGATCAGTAGCAGCAAATTCATGTATTTAAAAGTGAGAGGTAACGTATTTATATTAATTATCTGGTTTCCTTTTCTTCTTGTCACTTTGGGTTATCTGAAGCAATGGGGCCAAAAACGAAAACCTGATTTCCCCTCTTTAACCTGTCACTTTTAATCATTGCTGCTTTAACTAATTTACCTTGCCAGTGCTGAGATTTAAAAGCAGATAGTCATGATGCCCCTTCACTTTCATTTGGAAATATTCGTCTTTCTGTTCCTTGCTTTCAGTCATCAAAGTCCATTTCATCCTTCCTCAAAGCTACAACTCTATTTGATGAGATCCAGTGCAGCAATCCAACTCCTGTATCTCACAGTATGCTGACTTTGATATGTAATGTTTTATCTCAAGGAACCATGGACTAATTGCTTGGTTCAGATGTTGCCAGCCTCACTCTGCTTTTATACACATTAGCAAACATCATGCATCGAATCTTCAGCAGCTGTCTGTGTGCTTTATCACTGTCTGGAAGTCCCATTAAGCTTGATATTCTCTCATCGGCATTATAAATTTGCTATTGATGTTGACAACGAGAGTTAAGAGATATACAAATTTGGGGATGAGGGTGAGGGAGAAAAACATGGTCGATTTCTGTTCCATTAAAATGAACCTGCCATTCTTTGCCATTCTTTGCCACAGAAGAAGTATTGTACTTTTGCTAACCCTCTAGCTTAAGAAAGTACAGCTGGACAATTTATTTGTACAGAATGTAGAGTGAAAATAACATATGAGCATACGTTTTACTTTCCACTTGTTCTTCACAGCTAATAAGAGTCAGTGATCAAGCACCGTTGTTTGTCCTCTTTAGGGTAGCACTATGACATTCAGTTAACATTCAGGTTCTGTATCCATGTCAAACTTCCACTGGGCTTTTAAAACGGTTATTCTGATCATTCATCTGTGTAACAAGTAGGACTTGACATCTATTTCAAATGCTGCAATGCTTACCATCTGGCAGCAGTGTTGGCATTAAGGTCTCCCCAACTCCCCAAATTGCTCCATAAGTACGGCGAGCGTGTTGCTGATGGCTGGCCATAAGACTGGCTAAACGGTTGACATTTTCCTGCATAATTAATGGCTGCATCTGTTTCTGGTTTCACTGGTCCTGCTGTGGCATATCATTCAAATAATTCATTTCAGTAAAAGATTGGATTGCAAATTATAGCAGAGCAGTGATTATAAACAGCGTTCGAGGTCTGCAAGAGGGTTCCTGGTTTGAATCCTCGGGGGACCGGGCACCTTTTCTGTGTGGAGTCTCTATGTTGTCCTCGTATATGCTTTTGTTCATGTGAATAAAAACAGTTTATCGTGAAGTGTGTAGCCATTTTTAAAAAATGGTTTTGTCTCCTGTGTTGACTTTTTCTCAGAAGTCAGAATCAGTGTGGGGGACACGGTCAGCTTTGAGTGAGATTTTTCGGTGTGTGTTCACATCAATGTGTACCAGTTCTCTTTTATGTGTCAACTCCCAGTGTCAACTCTTAAGTATTGCGAGCGAATGAGGCGTATGCAAAAGGTAAAAACAACAGTGCCACTCGTAAGTAGCCAGGCCAGAAGTGAGATGGATGGGCGGTGCAGCACCTGAGTGCTGCTTTTCACATGCACTGCCAGCTTCAGTCTCCACATCTATCTATCTTCTCTGCCCTCACGCGTCTTCCTGCCCGCTGCCTCCACAGGGCCTGTTAACTAAAGCCAGGGAGACTGCTCTCTGTGCCCGACCACTCAGAAGAGAAATCCCACCCTTTCCAGTTGCTATGGATTTATTTATTCATTTTTACAAAGTGGAAGCATAGAGACAGATGGACAAGTGTTCTTGTTACTGCCACATTTTATTAGCAAAACCCTGCTCTTCTCAGCTCAATACGCCGAGTTGTTTCATTATGCCGGAGCAAGTTATTCAGGGGCCATTACTAAATTAACGCATTTTTCTCATTAATACGCAGGACATGCCAGCAGTTTTACCTCACCGATTACAGTGGATTAAAGATTTACACCACTGAAAGCAAACTGCAAAATCACACTGCATTATTCGCCATAGTCAGCACTATTGTAATTATATCCCCAAAAAGAAATGTAATGCTGGTTGAACTTAAGCTGAGGTAGGCACGACGACATGGAAGAAAAAAAGAAATCACTCTGCAAACTTTGTATAAATATTGCATGTGCTAAGCTGGATGCATTGCATGTGGATGATGTTTTATCCCGAGGATGTCTTTCAATTAAATATAAAGCAACCACAAGGAGCCTGTTAGATTGGCTTGGCATAAAGAAAGGGAAAGAGATTTCTACAAAAACACAATCACTGTCTTTGTCTAATTCATTAATTAAAAACTGGATAAATATTGCATTTGGTTACAGCATTACTTGTAAAGCAGTGGCATTAGGTTTTTCATTTTATCTGGTAATGTGATGCAACCGCCATTTTTTTATCTGCTCAACTTAATCCAGACCAGAAACCTGCAGATCCTTATGTCTAAAGCTGATCCTTTCCACTCTGATTTGTTTTCTACACCAAAGAATGTGTTTCCCCTCTCTGGCGTTGCCTTTGCTGCCTCTGGGGAACCCTCTGACAGAAAACAATTACCCCTTTCTGTTTTCCTCTGTCAGTCAGTCTAATGCATCTTGAAGCTAGTTTCAATTACTAAATATAGACTACACAGCAACCTTGGGTACAGTAATGCCTTTCCTTTTTTTTGCTTCATTTGCTGTTAGGTAAAAGGTGATTTAATAGGTTGGCCTTTCATTTGTATCTTCAGAGTAGCAAACTGTGGTAAGATTGTTAGAAAAGAAGAGATTAAAGCTGGCCTTTTCATTAAAGTGTCCTTTGGCTTTAAAACTGGTTTGAAGATGTGTGTGATTGCTGCTGGATGACTTAACTTCATAGTGGAATGCTGTCCTAGTGAACTTGTGTTAATCAAAATAATCAGTCAGTTCTGCACTTAGCTTGTGGAATGGAAACAGGCAATCTCCAGGGGTCATTGATTGCCAGTGATTACACCTTCACTGAAAAAAAGACAGCTATTTTGTTGTTTAATGCTAACCTTTAACTCGCGAGCTCTCCATTGCTTTTAACTTTGAGCAACAGATTAATTCACTTCCCACCAATGTTGTGCAAACAAACAGTTTGAAGGAACACCTAAGTGTGGAAATGTGCAAAATACACATTACAGTGTGTATTCATATAATTCATGAAACACACCTTGCGTGAGAAGGGGAGCAGTGTTTTCATCCTTCAGAGCACATATAAAGGCTTTCTGGAACAAACAGGCAACTTTATATGTTTGATATTACAGGAACTGATGGATCTGGACCGTACAAAGCTGCAAAGAGAAAACATGGAAAATCATGCCCCCATCCCATAGCCCCCCCCACCCTTCTCTCCTATGTCATTTGAGGTAGCAAAGAGAACAATCTTTTCCATTTATCCGTATGTGCTCTCATGATTTCAAATGGACTGATGGATTATTAGTTTTCTTGGTCTCTAATTTGTAAATGGTGTGCATTATGCAGCAGAGCAGACCTTCCCAGTGGGCTTTCTCCTCCATAAGCAGCTTGCACTAGGTTAAATGTTAATGAGATACTCCTCTGTATAGATTGAGTGGGTAAGAAGAGAGGAGGCAAAAAAAAAAAAAGAAATCCTGTCCAATGGTGCAAAAATGAAACTCCACAAGTATTACCACCTCAATTGAAAATATTAAACATAAGCCAAAAGAACAACCATGGCAGGGAGCTAAAGATGTAAAATATGTGTGCACAGATGTTTCACAATCTTGACATTTTCGTTTTTGACTTTTCACAGAGCATCCGTAAAGAAAGGTGTGACCTTTCGAACAGCGACGCCCAGTAGCTCGTTACTCTGGGATATCACTCTGGATATGGGTGGAGATGGAGCCATTGCTGTTATTTGTCAGAGGAAGGCACCGATACCTGGAAAAAGGCAAGTCTACAAATTCCTCACATTACTCTCTAATCGGCCAAGGGCTATTTATGTTCTACTCTTTCTTATGACTGGGAACTGTGTTGTCTTATAGTAAATATTTACTCTTGAGTGTGCGGTTAGGTATCAGTATTGCATGCACTCCAGTTGTAAAAGAGGGTCTGATGTAGAAAAAATGTAGAAAAAGGCACACATTCTCTGCAGCTGAGGAGCAGAGCACAAACCTTCTGTGCTGATAGTCTCATGCCAGTTTACTGCATACTGTCTTGTGTCCTAGTTGGATGTCTCTTATGCTCTCTAAGCACAGGCTGGCTGCGGGTGCTTCTGCAAAGCCTGTAAGTGGGTATTACCTTATTTTCATTTGAAGAACACTTCTCTCCATTGAAACATTTCTGAATATTTAGAACTAGTGTGCATCATCGCAGTTCTAACATGCAGGAAAACAGATTCTAACCTCAGACTTAAAAGCTGTAGGATCTGTGGTGATCTACATTCATATGGAACAGTAAAACCATTTGCATGACATCTGCAGGTTAGCTCTTAGGGCTTCTAAGAAGTACTGAATCTCATTAAACAGCACTACAAACAATCTCTATTGAGGTTTTAGAGCAGCGGCTTAATTTCATTTGACTGAGATCTGTTGAGTTCATTTAAGGATTGAACAGGTGACTGAAGGTTTGTGTGCTTTTTTTGCGAAACTGCTTCAACACCGTATATAACTCCAATGTTTACATAATACATAATACATGAGGACTTGTGTGGACACAGATCACCTGGGGTTGATACTGCCAAGGGGTGGTGCTCTGTGCGTGTTACTTTTATGTAAATGAATTTAGCCAAGTTTAAAATTGAAGATAAGACAAAGACAGAATCTCGCATCATTACAGCATATTCCCATAAGGTTTAGGTCAATTTCCGCCATCATGTGTATGTTTTCTCAGAGTGGTGGTTTGGGAGGGATAGCAGCAGAGATACATCTAAATGTGCCACTGCTGGTATGTTGCGTTTGTGTGTTGGTGACTTTACTTTTCCTTTTATAGGCTTGAAAAGTGTTTTATGTATCATAACATTGAAGCTTCTTTAATCCCCCACTGAAGTAGTTTAACTTAGATCCGAACACACTCAGATCAACTTTAGGACAAAAACACATCACTGATGATGTTGCTGATTATTCCCCTGCAACTTTCAAAAAGAAAAATAAATAAATAACAGAGGGCATGACAGTAGCCTCGGCTGTAGGGGTTTCGGTATTAATGCAGACTTAAGGGGATATGCGGCGCAGGCATATGTGAATCAATCATATCTTTTTTTTAAATACTTGACCAAAATGCAATTCCTATCTTTTAATCTCAGGTCGCTGCAATATGGCACCATGATTATATTACACTAAATCTCCTTCCAGCCCTTAATAAGAAAAAGCCCTTTGCTCTTGATCTTGGAACTTAATGGAGGATTAAGAAATATGATTTCAGCTCCAAATCGTTGTTGATCATGTGCAGGGAGATGGTTGGTTTTGCAGCCACCTTTTCATGCACTAAAAAGGACTTACTGCGTGTTGGCACAACTATTGACACTGATTTATTACGGGAACACCCTGCAGTGAGGCTGATAATGCCCATGCAGTTATGTGCATGCTTATTGTGTTTTGGAGCACCCATATATCTTCTCTGTTGTTCAATACCGTGACAAGAAATAAAAACCTGAAAACAAACTTGGACCACGTAAGAATTGGATTCATGACAACAAGATACTCTGTTCTAGCTGGCATCGCTGAGAGGCCATAATAAGTTACAAAAGCTTGGACTTTTCCTATGTGTACAGTATGCCCCTGTCCTTGGACCATCTAATCTACAAACATTCAATACTTACAAACTTTTCAAGCCATAGTCCCTACTGCCAGGAGAAATATATCCGGTTTCATTAGCTTTAGTCAGAGCCCCTTCAAAAACAAAAAAAAAGAGGAAGAACATGTCTTGTCACATGTTCTCAGATGCCACCTTGACGTTTCCTCACTTTATACCCTTAGGGTCAAATTTGGAACACATGATAATAAGCAATGAGCATTTATTAATTTGATTTGTCATTTGATGGTGGACCGGTCACTTGGGTTCAGACTAAACCATCTCAGTAATTATTGCAGGTCTTCTGATAAGCAAATCTATCAACTGATAAGCAAATCTTAGTTTACATGCAATTTACAATGACTCCTCTAAGTAAGGGTTGAAAGACAAAAAAGAAGCACTGCGCAGATGTCCCCATAAACTCTGGGTTCAAAAGTGGGACCATCATAGTTCAATAATCTTAGTACTTGTTCCCTTTTGCCTTTAATATTATACCTGTAAACTTATCCAAGTGCTTTATATTTAGGCTTGAAAGTAGCCTGCTGGAGGTACTTCAGATGGACTTTGAGGTTGAGGAGCTGAGCAGTCCTCTTGACAGCCAAGTTATCATATGGAAACTGGAACTACCGTCTGCGCCCAAGAATGGAGGCAGAACTGAGGGAGCCATGAGGATTTATACAACCCAGAGAGACTTTGTGGGCCTTGCTCCCCTTGTAATGGTGAGTTACATGACACCGTTTATGTCATACCTAATCACTATGAAAGCCAGCCACAATGTTACTAACATCAGCGTTTCCAACAGAGTGCCTCCATTGAATATTGGTGCAGGGAAATATCATAAAATGCACTCTTATCTATTCCTGTCTGGATTACATACAGAGAGCTGCATATGCTTTGGTCTGTTTTGCAACAGAGTTCTATTTTCAGCTGACCGTGACCTTGGGTTATTCACTGTCAACTAGCTGATGCCTGTTGTCTGTTTTGTTCTGCTCCGCTCTGGTGTGCAATGTGTGGTCATCCTCTGATCGTAACAGCTGCTTTATGTGATGTTATTTTGGAGCTTCGGGCCTCTTTATCATGCCACAGTGGCACTAAAATTAATCCATGACATAATCCCCTTGACTAAACATCCAATGTTACAGCTCTTTGAGTAACAACACCGAGTGCGATCTATTTGTCACCTGGGCCACTGACTGTTCGTTAAATATATCACACTTTTAACAAACAATATGGATTACCATTTATTCAACCACATTTTGAAGATGAAATGTGTGACAAAATAAGTATGGTAAAGCACATTTTGTTGGATATTTAGTCTTTACAGGTAATTTAAGCCACGCTTGCTGCATGATGATGTTTTAGTGTTTGGACTCATAAGATCCAATTATATCCTGGTCTGTGTCTTTGACCTGGTTTAACTCCCTTGCTTAGTAGAAGCTGAACTTTGGCTGACAGCTGAGTGTGAGGATATTCAAATGTAGAGTAAACCAAAGGTAGCATCAAGTCCAGTATTCCCTTAAGATATTAAAAGCCTTTTGGATTCAACCTTCAACTCGGCTGTGCCTCAGCTGTGCTGTTTAATAATACACAGAAAAATTAAAGACGAAGCTACACAGCACATACAGTCCTTACAGCCATTTCATGTACCGGCTCATTCCAACTTAGGGTCACCGTGGGGGCTGGAGCTTATCCCAGCTGTTATTGGGTGACAGATGGTGCCCATCCTGAGCAGGTCATTAGTCCATCACAGGGCCACCCAGAAATGAACAAGAAAGACATCCCATCAGGTCAATTTGGTCAACAGTTAACCCAACGTGCATGTTCTTTGACAGTCAGAGTTCTTAGTTGATGCAACTGGTCGCCTGGCCCTGTTTGAACTGAGATGCCATTCCAACCGGATGTGCAGAGAAATCCAAGATTAACTCTCCTTTCTATCCCCTGACCTGGCCATCACCTCACCTTATCCCTACTCCACCAATGAGCTCATGCTTCATTATCCACGCCACCTAGCTCCTTCTTTTTATTTGCTTCTTACACAAACTCAGAATAGCTGCGGCGACACACAGAATTAGAACAAGTAGAAAAACCCTGCTGGTAATAATTGTTGCCCCTTTTTGCCCATCGTCCGCAGGACACAGAGATCCTGAACACTGCTGTGCTGACTGGGAAGAAGGTGGTGATGCCTGTGAGGACAGTGGCTGTGGAAGAAGATGGTTCAGTCACAGATGTGTCTGACTACACGGACTGCAGCTCAAGTGATGAAGATGTTCTTCAGGTCATTTCCTCTTCTCCCCACGAACCTGTCTCCTTAAGTCAATGCACGAAGAACAAGACATTTCTGTTTTGTTTTTTTCAATTCTTTTCTTTTTTGGAGTCCTGCATTTGAGGTGCAAATGTGACAGGAGCTTTTCAAAAAGCCTAAAGCTCTCCCTCTGATTTTTCCAAATTAATATTTTACAACAAGGGCAGTTGTGAACAAATACATTTTACCTGTCACCTGAAATCCCTCTTTCCACATTGCAAAACAAACTATTCCCAAATCTCCAAGACCATCACCTATCAGTCTCTCTGACAATGGACTGTTTCTGTGCCGAAGGATCACTTTGTTTACAGATTATAGTAAGAACATTGCTCCAAGATCTGTTAAGCCAAGGGCTGTGACCTTTTCTTTGAGATAAACAATGGTTTAATAAAGTGGGGAATTGATAAAAACATAACCCTGAGTAGGTTTAGCAAACAAGATCCTTCCCAGCCAATAAATGAATGCAGTTTATCAGTGCTGTCACATCAGGACACTGACAATTTGATACACATGTATGTAGTGCAGGGCAGTGTATGTGAAAAGGAAAGTAGGATTACATGAGAATGCTGAAAACACTTTGACCCCGAAATGTACCCCTTCATTGATTTTTGTTTTAAACTTACTGTAGTTGTCCGTGTATCTGATGACCAGCTCACAGCTTCAGTCACAAATAATCTCTTTAATCTTCTTAGTCTAACAGATTGAATGAGATATCTTTTCTCTTCTGCTGTGCCTAAGGGGTATCAAATCTGTAAGTGATGGATGGGGAAGGATTTATCAGGAATGGATAGCTCTCACAAAATAAAACCTAAACTAAGTGCACTAAGTTGCGATGGTACTGATTTGAAAAAAGTGTGAAAAATAAACAAAACAACTGTCTTTACTTGAACATGTTGTAGACAGATCATAGATATGATGTCATAAGGAAATTTGACTCAATTCCAGGAGGACCATCGTCAGTGCTTCATTCTCTCACTTTAAGTTATTACATGATTTCTGCTTAGAACTGCTTTTAGTTGCAAAAACAAACTCAAGACACAGCTGGGGCATCGAAGTGAAGCAGATGTTTCATTTCTGACACTGCACCCAGTGATGAGAGTAAAATCCCATCTTAAACATGTCCTCTGTTTTTTCCAATAACAACAACACTGATGGGTATTCTTGGGCACAGATAAGACTCAACAGAATGAGTGGGAGGGCAGGACGCTGAAATAACATTCCCTTAAAATAGATTCTCCATGTATTATTAGAAAACGGCTCAGGCTTTAGTTCTTGGAAGGTGCTTTCCAAAAAACAAATATATAAATGCATTTGTATATGTGGATGTGTGTGTGTGTATATGCTTATGATGTTCATGTGCTCTAAAGCTTAGGTTTATTTCACATGATGGCAAGGCCATTGCTGTAGAGTGGACATCTTTTTCTCAAACTGTGACTTTTTTTTTGTTTTGTTTTTTGTTTTCCCGGTTATGATTAACATTTTGAGTCAGATTCAGATTAACATGAAGGCAAACTTGATTGCAGGGAAAAACTCTATGCTTGTTTTCACGGATGGTTTTGGTATTGTATTGTCTTTCCAGGTGTCAGACAGGTGTGACCACGTCTTTGTAAATGGAAAGGAGACCAAGGGCAAGGTGAAGATGATAGTAAACTTCACCTACAGCTACCTGTCTGCTCAGCTCGAACTGAACGTGTGGATGCCGCGGCTTCCCCTCCAGATCGAGCTGTCAGACTCAGAACTTAGCCAGATCAAAAGCTGGAGGGTGCCCATCCTGACTTCCAAAAGGTGGGAAACATTTGTTTATCCTAAAATTTCCACTTATTCAGCTTTCAAGTGTAATTTAGACCACCCTAAGGATCCTAAGACCGCCAACTTCCATATGGATTTTTATGATTTAATTATGTAATGAATTGTGCTAAGTAATTGAGGCACAGCAGGTGAAAGCACTGTGTTACAGATATAACCTGAATGTGTGTGTTTTGTGTTTACCTGGAAGATCTGGATGGAACAAAGAAGAAACTGAAGGGAAAGGGAAAGGATGCATGCTCCAGTATCAGCATGCCCTCGTCAGCGTGCTAACACATTTTGTGGGAGAGCAGGAGGATCCCCGGGATCCTACAGCCTATTTCCTGGGCCCTGATTGGCAGGTGGATGTCACCAGGTTAGTTCGATACTTCATGAAGGTGGAGGACCCTGGAGTTGCAAGACTACAGGACGGAAGAGTGCTGTCTGGCAGAGATCTTGGCACTACAACTATCCAGGTAATAGATTCAACAAAATCTGATATTAACTTTTAGAACAGTCAGAAGTTACATTTGTTTGCATTATCTATGAATTCCTTCCCAGGTTTGAAAGCAAAGTAAATAAAACCTTATATTAACAACAGCATCTGGCTTTTAAGGCTTTGGTTTTTAAAGATGAAAATATATAATTTTGTAGACCCGTTCAAAATGTTACTTTAAACCTAAAGAAAAATATTCTTTGTTCAATGGAGAGAGGTGCATCACCCTATCCTTTAATTTGCCTGACATACTGTATTTCCACAACAGGTTTTTTCTCCATTATCTGATGTCGTCTTGGCTAAGACAACTGTCAAAGTTGTGGACAACAAAGTGAGCATCACAGAGTTGGGAGTCCAGGTGGTTGCAGGCCTTTCCATGACCTTACAGCGTAGTGTGGGTAGCAACAGGGCCATCTTGGCAACCACTACCACACAAGAGATTCTGCAGAGCCCCAAACAGGTGCATGTCTTTATCTTCTTAAATCAGTCTGTCTTTTAAAGTTTAGATTTAAATTGAAATGACGACTTCTGCTATTTTCCTGCTCCCTCAGGAAGCTTTGGTCAGTGCCTGGGTGCAGTTCAGTGATGGCAACCAATCACCTCTTGACATATACGATCCAGCTTTCTACCGTCTAACAATAACATCCCTGGACCAGGGGGTGGTGTCAGTCCAGGGCAAACCTCCAGTTGTGGTGGCAGAAGGGGAGGGTGAGGGAGTCCTGGTTAGAGTGGAAATGTCTATCTGCGAGGCCTGTCAGAAGTCCAAACGCAAAACCACTGTGGCTGTTGGTAATGGCAGCCTTAAGGTCAAATTTCAGACGAACCCTCGGCGGCCGGGCAGCAATACCCGCAGCCTTGACAGAAGCTCAGCCGGTAATAAGGACAGCAGTGACTATGGGAACGATGGGGAAGAGGTGGACATCGAGAGGAAGCAGAAGAAACCATCTCAGGATCCTCCATCACTCATCCTAAACTCCAGTAAAGATGGCAGTACCGTTCAGAAGATCTCAACCACAGTAAAATCAACAGAAAGGCCCCTACAATCGATCAGCAGCCTTGAAGGAGTGAGCAAGATGAGTAATTCTGGAAACGGCGACAGTCCTACCAGCACGGTGAATGTCAGCCTCCTGAGTAGCCCCAGAGACAGCAGCAAAGGATACGAACTGGATAATATGATTGCGGAGGAAATGGGTAGTGTCAGCTTTACCAGCACGGTGAAAGCTCCTGGAAATCTGGTGAACTACAACAACTTCCCAACAAAGGTGGAGAACAACCCTGTGCAGGACTCAACGGACGTAGAAATTGGTGGCGAAGAAGCATTGGCTAACAGGCCTCTTACAGACTTGGAGATTGGCATGTACGCTCTTTTGAGTGTGTTTTGTCTGGCCATTTTGGTATTTCTGGTGAACTGTATTTCGTACGTTGTTAAATTCAGGCAGAAGAAGCCTCCCTCTCATGGTCAGGAGACCACAGGGCACAGGCATGACTGGGTATGGCTGGGCACAGACGCTGAACTGGTCATGACTATGCCAGGCAGTCCAATCCAGCAGGACTCCCAGACCACTGTGATAGACATTGGGCCTGATAAGACCGCCACTCTCGCCAGGAGGCCCAGTTGCTTGGCCTCTGTGACAGACTCTCCTCTCAGCTGCTCAGGTTTGCACAGGAGCAAACCCACGCAAAGCGACTCCATCCACTCGCCCACCAGCAAGAGAAAGAGAGTACAGTTCACTACATTTTCCACACTCGAGCGCCAGCATTCACCACACCTTCCACCCAGGGAGAACGGCCACGGCATTCACTGGGTTGGGAAGGAGGACAATTGTGAGGAGGAACCTCAAGTGCCCATTACAGAGCCTGGGGACAACTTTTAGAGACCCTGATCAGACCTCACATGTACAGTAGATGTGGCTTTGATCACCTCAATGCCTTTGTTAAGAACATGTCATTTTTGTAATAGGCCCTGCTTCACATTTCATTGACTATTAAGGCCTTTTACATGTACATGTACTGTATAATGTATATACTTAATGTCAACGAGTGGATGTTTGTGCTTGTGATGGATGGATGACCAGGTTGATTCTTATTTACACAATATTTACAGACACAAAATGGTAATGCTGCATGATGAAATCTTCATTTCAACATTTTTGTACTCACATACTGACTGATACAGAATACCATGACCAAATACCAGAAAAGTATGTAAAATTAAAAGAACTGTCATAATAAGAGGCCCAACTTAAGACCTTTTTGTCACCAGAGGTCTGGCTTTTATTAGAAATGACTAAATTCCATCATCATTTCTTTCTTTTTTCTTTTCCATCACAAGTGGATTTAATTTGTATTTTTTCAAATTAAAAACACTTAAATAAAAAACACTTATTTTGAAACATTTAGCTCCTTCCACCAACAATTAAGAAGGCATTCTGAAGTTAGTAAGAGTATACAAGCCATCTACTGATTTTGATCTGTAACTATTTGTTAATTTTTACATGTTTTCAACCCATATCATGTCTCAGAGTGTTGCAAAATACAAACCTGTCTGGCAAACTGAAAGGACCTACTTGCCTTTTTGCTCATTAAACAAATAAAGACATTGGCTGCCCGTATTGCGGACAAACTGACTGTTACTTTTTATCACTGAGTAACAGGTTAGGACACAACTTGGAAAGAATGATAATTTCAGAACACACAATGGTAAACTTGAGATATATTCCCTTTTAATGAGGAGGAAGATTTGACACAAAATCTTGATTTATATTAAATTATTTAAAATAATACAATATCAAATTCAACACATTAACACAATCAGCAACACGAGCTGCTTCTTTTTGCTTCAAGTGTCTTAAAGCATAATTTTCCACACAGGCACTGCAGACAAGATCCCCAATTTTGTGCAAATAAAGATAATAAAAGTATTACAGCTACATGATGTACCAATGTGATAGCCTGTTCTCTGCTGATGAAGTTTCCTGAGAAAGAATCCAGAGCTGGTTGATTGCCGTGACCTCAGGCTGAGAGCAGAGTGTCCACCAGTCGCTGATAGGTTTCTCGCTCCTGTTTCACGCTGTGATGCTCTTCCACGTAGAGTTTCCCATTCCTCATCACTCTCTCTCTCAGCTCTCGATCTGACAACAGCCTCTGTGACTGGTGCACAAATTCCTGGAAAAGGCAAAGGTAAAAATCGGTCCCATTTAATGCCACTAACAGCTTGCCAGGGAAGGCGCCTGGAGCTATGTTATTTTAAAGTATCAAAGAAAATCCTAGGCACAGGAACAGAACTCTGACAGAACCGTGTGCACCACTGAGATATACTTGAAGTGTCTGCCAAGGGTAGGATGTATTTTTGGCTTTAGATGCAATTATGGACGTCCAATTGAATGCTTCAGTTATGAGCTGCCATCTCTCACTTGCTGATAGTCAAAAGGACAAAAGTAAACAGATTAACAATTCTGTCTTATCAGATGTGAAAAAGGAGGAGGACAAAAATTGCATGGTTTAAAAAAGGGGTTGGGGGGATGGGGTGCAGTTTTTTGATATCCCACAGAGATATAGTGCATCCACACAACATCCTGAAATCCTAGTTGCTCATCTGTTTGCCCAGTAGGCTTAGAAAAAGAGCTTCTAACAAAATGAGTCAAGTTTCCTCAAATAATCTTTTAGTGTGGCAGCAAACGGTGGGCCAAAGCACGCACAAAGTTTTAGCCACTGCCACTCATCAGGCCATTTCCCCTGGCGCTGTTGACGTGATTATGACTGGAGAGGCTCTTGATAGGAAAGAGCTCCTCTGTATTGCAATATGAGAGCTATAAATCCTCAGCAACAGGATTAAAGCTCAACTTATAAGACTGCACATAATTATGTCATTCTTAGGGCTTTTCAGACATGAGATATATAACATTAATGGCTTCGTCGTTTTGTGAGAGGGACAACATTCAGTCGGCCAAAGAGAGTCACAGTCTGCCAGATTTTAGAAATCCAGACAAGATAGAGGTGCGCATTAAGAGAGATATAATACTTTCCACAGAAATTCCGTTTTCAAACATCGTGTTATATTATCATAAGCGTGTTAAGCCCACAGTAGAAACAAAATAATCATCTTATTCAATGGGACTTTTATGTGCTACAGTTATGGGGACGATGATGAACACCAAATCAGTGTTATATTTACCTCACAATATGTCAATTTGCCAAAAAAGCTCTAATGAATCTATCAAATGCCAAGCATTGTTTTGAAATGTGCTTAATTTGAAATGTTGATTTCGATCCAGAACTAGGGACAATGCTTGATTCTCAATTTTAAACAGATATTAATACAAGCCGAGGCAGAACACAACTGTGAATGGATGTGGATATCCATTTTAGTCCTCATGTTTCCATTGCAACATGCCGCGGAGAAGCAGCAGCGTGCTCAGTCCGAATTTACAGCAGAATGTTTGCTGCCATTGGATTAATGGAAAACAGTGTATGCATAAAAGGGTTTTTAGTGCAAAGTTCTAAAGCAGGCAGCAAATCTCATATTTGTGTTTTAAGCTTTTAAGCGCTTGTTTATTCGTTCGTTAGGCACCATTAATTATTTTTTTCGACAACCAAACTAATTGTGAAAAAGAAGAAATATCGTTGGTAAAAACGAGAAGATTTCAAAGCACAAGGAGAAAAAAAAGGTCCTCAGAGAAAAGTGCCTGACGGGCTGGCACTCACTGCCAATCAGTTGGGGCTGGGGTCATAGTTTATCTGGCCCAAGTTGCTGGAACCATCTGTGTGAGCTCCCTGCAAACAGATCAGCTAAGCACACGTGCCGAGAGGACTTATCTCAACCATCACAGCATCAAGCCACAGCATGGCGTCTTGACAACTGCATGTTTAAGCTGCCTGTCAACTGGCATAAGCTCATGTTATCCTCCCTTAGCATCAAAACCCATTAAATAGCAAACCGAATATTTCTCCAAGGAGGATTCTACTTGCTACGTTGTGTGCTGTTTTTTTTTTTTGTGATTATGCCTTTCTTTGTTTTTTTTCCCAAAAAGCTGCAATTATTTAGAAATTCTAATCCGAGCACCCCAGGAATCCTAAAAATAAAACAGCTATATAGGGCACGCATAGCTGTCCTGAAAGAGGCTAGATGACATGTTGTAGCTACAGCAGTGCATATTTCCATTGCTAGCCTTGAGAAGTCTGTGTGTTTATAGGCTTAATGGAACTTAACACATGCTAGCCTGGCCTGTCACCACTTACCTGAGGTGAGGAGTAGAGCAGACCAGTGACCTCATGCTGCACCACAGCTGTATTTCCTGGTATGTTTCTTGCCAAGACAGGTACTCTGAGATCCATTGCCTGTTGCAGAGAGAAATGTACTCTTAGTCACAGGCAAAACCTAGCAGAAACAGACACTGAAAATGTTGCAGCCTGTCATTTTGTTCCTGAATTGGATTCATTACCAGAATTGGCACTCCGTGTCAGCTTCAGCAGATTGTTGAGTGAAACATGCAAACATATTAATAAGACTTAAAGCCTTTGGTGGATTGTCTTAATTTACCATTTATGGAGATTAAGGGGATTTGGAAGTTTAGCTCACTCAGGAATAATAATGACAAAAAAATTGAAGTCACACAATTAATTTGGTTGATCATCCATGAAGTGGCCAAATAATACTGGAGCTAAGCAACAAACAATGAAATAACACAACATACACAGATATATTAATTTCCTTAGATTTTTGTGAAAGCGCTTTAGAAGACAAATCCTCTATAAATACCTCTACAAAGCAAAACCCTTTAACCATATTACCATTTTAGCTACGGTCTACTTATTATTTTATAATTTCTTTCCACGAGCACCATGAAGATCTTTACCTCCAAGATGGCTGCGGACATGCCTTCTGAAACAGAGCTGTTGACCACAGCAAAACATTTCTTCATAGCAGCATGGAGCTCCTGCTGGCTCCTCTCCCGAGCCAAGAAGACACCTGTTGTTCTGCAGAGGCAGTGACAAAGTTCAGTTATGCATGATCGGAGCTTACATAGGAGTGAATGATGCTGAGGAGCAGCGACAGGCTCAGGAAAGACCCCGAGGCAGAACTATGTATCGCAACCACAGAGGACACTTACCTCTTAACAACCGCTTCCACTTCAGCAGTAAACACAGGATCTATCTGAAGAATTAGACACACACGTATATATAGATATATTTAAGTATATACACACATTCAAACAGACTTATTAATACACAGGGTGAGTCAAAAGTCACAGAAAACCCTATAATTTCTGAAACAAAAGTGAAAATGACATCTGTATACCTTAGTAGGTAATGGGTGAGGAGGTCTTTTAGGCTGCAATCTGATTTTCAATATCAAAATTTATTAACACAGATAGTTGAAACAGCAACTCGGAACGCTGCCCTTAATGCACAGCTATTTGTGTTCAATGTGCTGTCCCTGGTGCGAAACAAAGATGAAAGTTTAGGATCCAACTTGCTATGAACCCGCATGAGAATGTCTGGGGGGGAAAAGCCTCACATCTTTGATATGCAACATGACCATCTTTCCTTTGGAAAAACTTGGCCTTTCATCCAATATGGCGACTTTCAAGATGAGGCCCATGTTCCTAAAAGATAGGCCACGTCTCCCATTACTTGCTGGGGTGTTCAGATATGTCATCTTCTGTGCTGTTTCTGAAATAGAGCTGTGTCCTTGTCTCAACCTATGAATATATACACACACACAAACACACACATATAGCGGGAGTAGTAGTAAATCCCTCATGTCTGATTGTCAAAAGCTTTGTTTTCATCAAGAGTGCCAACAAAATCTTAATCGGACATATAAAATAAACAATGACCCAATCATTTCTATCATGAGAAAATCATTCTCTGAAAATCCTGCATTTTCAGAGATTAGGGTCAGGGTGGGTGGGTGGCCAATCTGATTAATTGCAATGTGGGATTTGCGTGCATTAGCTTGTCCACAGAAATGTCAAAGGATAGAAATTTGGGTCAAAGATGCTACGAAACGAGCTGCAATTTCTTTTATTCTCATTGTCTTTTGATAAAATGTCTACATCAAATTTTAAGATCATGAGCTGTTAAATCAATGAGTCTAAACTGCCACCATGTTGGTGTCCTGGTGCAATCTGGGATATATTTTATTGCTATTGCTATAATGCTGCTGCTGCTTGGGCAATGGAATTTCCCTTATGGAATCAATAAAGCATCCATCCATCTCTCTTTCTGTCTTCAGTACATATTGTAACCTCTGTAGTGGATGGAACATCATAAAGCTTATGTGAATTTATATAGATGTTTTCCCATTTAATAAGAAAAACATGACAAATATTCTCTGCCAACTTTCCCTTTACATAAAATAACACTTTAAGATGATCTATTCTTCTTTTACCCAACAATAATATTTTGCAGAGTTTTGCAGAGTGCTTAATAAGGCTCTGCCACAGAAGAGCTATTGAGGACAGATATGTGTGACCTGATTCTTCTTGTAATGACAGATGCTGCACAGGGAGAATGCTTATTATGAGGGTAAATTTAGTATCTCATTGTGAAGACAGCGTGCTTCATTCTAACTCTAGTTTGTACGTTTAATACGTAAACGAATATTTCTCTACTGCGATTCAGAGTAAAATGACTCACATGTCTCTGCAAGCGCTGAACCAGGAAGGCAGTGCATGTGCCACTGGCTATGCCTAATTTAGTTGTTTTAGAGTACAGCGACAACAGAGCATACTTTTTACCCTACACACCACTGTTTGAAAGGTAGAACAGATGCTAAAGCACTGTACACTGATGTCAGATCAAAGCAAGTCAGGGGGAGGAGATGAAGACAACACGTGGAGAAATCAATGACAGAGAGATTGGAAATGAAACAGGGAAAAATGATGAGAGCACAGACGCAGGTGCTGTTCACTGAAATATACGGTAACCCTCAGCTGGGAACATAAAACTCCCAATACTGCAGCCCTACACCTACTTATTTATCCAATCACTTGAAAGAATTTTTTTTAAAGCCCACTTATTTTATCTGGTTGATTTATGTATATCATAAATCAGGGCAGGCTATGAGAGTTAAGCTGCTTTTCCTAAAAAAAAAGAAGGAAAAAAAAGACCTGTTTGACAGGAAGCCACATGGCTTCGGTAAATGCTGGTAATGTATTTGGCGAGATAAGTAGGGCAGTAACACAACCATATGTGACTGAGTGACAAACTCTACCTGTAGTTCACACCTTGGTATTTCTACATAAATCTCTACTTACAGGTCATTTGTCAAAGCGAGTGCAAATCTGGGGCTGGCAGTGGATCAGTGTAGGAAATAGCAATGCACACACACTTGCACACATTTAAGAATACTATTGCTGCTGATACTGAAGTCATTTCCCTTCAGAGCAAGCCCTTAATTCCAGCTGAACAGTTAAAGCCTGTATCTCTGCTACATCCAATTAGAGGCTGCCTGAATTCCCAGGAGAGGGCTTCTAGACAGCCCAGAGACTCACAATAGTGAGGGAAATGCATGCTAGGTTCTACATAAACAAACACTGAAATAAATGAACGGCTTCATTTGCAGCTACTTACCTTTGGCCCAATAATGATCAATACATTCTGTTGGTTCTCACAGTGCCAGGCTGGAAAACAAATTGGGACTTTTTAGTAGAGTAGTAAAGCTACTTAACGGGAAATTCTCACCTAAAAAAAAAAAAAGTATGATACACACAGCACTCACAAAATTCCTATTATATGGTCCTAATGCATTTCCACAGAATATTGCATTTAGTTGAAACTCAATTAAGGAGATTAAAAAAAAAACTTTTACCATGCAGCCATGGTTTGCACTGCTGGTTACCACTGAAACAAAGTTTATATCTTATATGCCAACATAACACCTTTAAAAGGTGGTCTTGGCTATTGTACTAAAGTATATTTGCTTTTTATTTTCCAGTTTTCACAGCACACTGTGCAATTCAGAATGCAATTCATAGTTTACCTGAGAAAACCTGAACCAAATAGAGAGGGTCCTTGACTCTTCTGAGACCACAGACCAATAGGAAGACTCGCAGCTGATCCACATGGTCACTCCTGACACCTGGAGGGATGCCAGTGACACACAAAGACAAGAACACAATATCGAAACACTGCATAACCAAGATTCCAAGTACATCAAGAAATAATGAAAGCAATACATCACCCAAGGTCACGACGAAAATAAGACAGCAATGACTAATATGCTCGCACAATGCGGCTGGGAAATAGTCTGCTGAGAACATTGGCAGGTTGGAGCCTAATCATTATGAAATGCAGCATCATAAATGCTCCGGCTGAGTGTTTGGGTGAGAATTCGCTTATTTAAACTGAAAAAAAAACAAAAAACGGAGGGGGGGGGGGTTGGCCTAACACTAGGCCAACAACATCAAGCATTTTAAGAACTTTGCCTTGATTGAGATGCAGTGCGGTAGAATGGGCTCCATTCCCAGAACACCCAACTCTCATGTTCAATCCAGAGATTAGTCAGAAACTGGCGGGCAGACAGCTGTGCTCAATGCCAACAACTTCTGCAATGCTCCTTGCCCTGCAAAAGCAGATTAAAATTCCCATCCTAATAAGGTTGGCTATTTATGAGGGCAACACACACACACACACACACACACACACACCATGATCAATGTCTCAGTCTTAATCTGTGACCTGAGATGGTAATTTAAAAGGGCAATTACAATATACCCTGTTTCTATGCCAGAAACTTCTGCAGAGGTCAGTCAAAATTATATCCGTAACTGCTCCTGGTACAGTAGACCACCTGCTTGAAATGGCTCAGACTACAGTACAATGAACACATCATAATCAAATGATATGCAGAAAGTATAGCTTTATGCAGCATTCTAAAAACTGTAATGTTGTTTGTGCAAGTTTTAAGGTTAGTGGAAAAGTTTCACCTGACGAGATTAATTATCAGTCTCAAATTGGCTGGCAATTTATCTATTTTGTCCATGATGATTGAAAGAGGACAAAACACGCATGGATGCATCAGAGGTAAAGATTGCTACAAAAAAAAGAATAAATCAGCAGAAAACGTTCAGAAACACTAAATATTTGAACTAAATCTGTGCAAATCCATCCGGGGGAAAGACTGACATATTTTCCTATGTAAGTGAAGCCTTTGACATGCTGGTACTGGCAAAACATTTCCGGCATTATCAAAGTAGGTTTCATGCTCTAGGGACCATGAACATCTGCACAAAATTTCATAGCAATCCTCCTAAAAGCTGTGTGCTTCAAATAGAATACGCAGAGAGATCTCACGTAATGAGAAGATTTAAACATCATCAACTTTAAAGTCATGGTTCAAAACGGGTGAAAAAAACACAACTGTGGCAATAGCTGTGCAAGCACAAATAGTAGTGTCACACAAACTGGGACAGGCCGATACCAGTATGTGCAACTGTGCAAAGTCACAGTCAAGTGAAATCCCTTCCAGCTAGATAAGTCCAGATCAAGAGGCTAGAGCAGCTCTTAATGCCATTAAGAGGATCTTAAAATGACAGCATCACGTCTGGACCCTGACCCTGATTCCAAGAGCTGATTGTCCAAAAAGCTTTTACATTTAGGGGATATGTCAGAGGCCTTCGCAGAGACAAATTGTCAGGAAAGATAAAAATCCACGTCTCTACCTGCTAGAATATGAAAGTTATAAAATAACATGACAAAGGCCGTTCCTTTTGGGATCTGAAACATGGTTAGTCTTTTTAGAGGAGAGAAAAGCAACTTAAGTGCTAATCATTTCTTGTGCCACCGGCAATCTTTACTCTCCCGCAGTTCAGTTCTGTGAGTAGTTCATAATACATTAATGTAGTGATTTGCCTTTGATTTCAGAAAGGCATCCTAAACATCGGCAAGACGTTCTAATCAATATCCTTCCATGCTTTATGCATACATGGTCGCACATGTTTATCTGAAAGGTCCACTTTAATCTGTTGGGAGACAGTACAGTGAGCGCGGTATGCAGGGAACACAAACAACATCTGAAAAGAACTTTACACAATGTAATCAAATAATCAAATCTATCCAGATGGAACAGCAGCAGGATAATAAGTGAAAAATCTTGCATGAAAAAGAAAATCACCTGTGCCATTTCACCTGTGTGGTTTACAGTCCCGCATCATCGCATTGAGGCCTCTTTAACATGCCAACTAATTCATGTGGATGGCAGTTGGGATCATGATGGCTTAAATCCACAATTGGACCAACGAGCAATACATTTGCCACATTCTCTGCTTTTATTGGAACTGTGCAACTCTGAAAACAGGACCAGGAGCATTTGTGCTTCTACCCAGTCACACACACAGAGACACACAGTTTTTCATGGGCTGACAGTCTATGGATTTCAATGCTCAAGCTGCAGCTCTGGAATGCACATGACATCCATTGGAGAGCATAAAGAGACATGAAGTATAGTCACGTATCTTAATTCAGGTAGGAGGGCGGCTCCTCTTTTATTTTCCCCAGATGAAGGCTTTTATAGTGTGATAGTGCAGTCGAGGGCCAAATAGAACATATTAATTCCAAAAAAAACCAAATATCTTTTCTGCACGCCTTGAAACAATATACTTTAGATTTTATGATTCAGGAATTATTAATTTATGTCCCACTAGCTACAAGGATAAAAAGAAAATCAATATCCAGCAAGATCTCTGTGGACAGAACGCACATAATGAATTGTGCCCCCCCCCCCGGCTGAGCCATAGGCTTGTGTAGACTGAGGGAGGAATAAAGTTGACAGAGGGAATGCAGGTGTGGCACAAGTGCTGCAGTTTAGTTCAGAAGAGAATTAAACATGAGCACCGTTGCCGAAACTGATTACTAAAGATACCATCGGGTTTAAACACAAAACCGGGGAAAAAGCTTTAAAGCCGTTCCTCCCAAATATGTACTTTTTTCAATAAGCATAGAGCCTAGAATTCTGTGAGGGGTGAAGCTCTCAGCTGTGGGAACTGCATTTGCTCGTCTTTTCAACGTCCCAAACAATATCTGAACCATGAGGATTTTTTCTTCTTTGTAAGTGGCCCACATTTACAGAAACGAACCCTGACAAAACATCACCACCGCACGGGGAGGAAACTGGAACAATGCTTAAAGCTCCAAAGAGGTAGTCAAATTACAGAATTTTCATCACATCCCAATAATCACACAAAAACGCATTCTCCCTTCTCAAGTACAACAAATGGAGAAATGAGGATGGGAAAAAAAAATCTGTATTACTTGCAGCCATTGTGAAACGTGGTGACAAATGGCTCTGGCCCTGAGAGCTATTTATCATATGCTCCTCTCTGTACTCTGTGCTGTTCTGTACGAGCAGTAATATACTTTGGGAAGGACATCATGAAATGTCCAATTTAAAGCTGGGGCTATTTGTACAGCTGAGAGGTGTAGTGAGCTATTCAAATGGGAAATAGAATAGCCCGGCAGAGAGAAGGAAAAATGGCCATCTAAGCGGCAGCTGTGCTGCACTGCTAATCACACCTGGAGTTAATGGTCATTGGGATTGTTCAGTCATGGGTGACACACTCTGTGTTTTAGAACAATAAACTCAAACATTTCCTTTACAACAGAAAATGATTAGATTGCCCTGGATGAAAGGCACTACCGTGAGTGATAGGAAGATTGGATGCTTAAGGGAAAACACAACAGGAGAGAAAGATTTGCTTAAATGTGCAGAGCTTCACACACATGAGATTTAGTAAATTCTTGTGGCCAACTTGCGTAGAGCTGTTCAAAAAGAACACGCAATATAGAAGCTTCCTTATTTCAATATTCTTTTCACAGAACAGACACCTTGCGCACAACCCCACTGATCATTCATCGGTGTGTGTAGGAGCTCGCTGAGACACAGCTGCCAAAATATGACCAGTCGCCACAAACTGCTAATTCCAGAGTGTGAAATACATCCTCACCAACTAGACCTTAATTAAAATCTGTTGCAGTAAGGTCGAAAGAGCCTGATATAAAATACTGAGAATGACTGGAATGACAATAAACAAAGTACCTGAACTCCTCAAGAACTCCATCCAGTAAAATGTCTCAGTCTCTTTCGTGTGGATACCTGGAAAGTAAACATATTCATAAAAAAATGCGGCAGCTCACGATTGCTCACAAATTAGGAGTGATCCAACAAAATATTTGTCTGCTTTATATAAAAAGTGCTTCAGTGTGGTAAGTATGTGGTGGCAAGCTGACAAAATGGGCTTCAGCTGGTCAGGGCAGAGACATGCTGCTGGCCCACTGTGAGAGGACACCATTTACAGAGAGGGGCTCGTGGTGGGAAACAACATGGAATAATGATCTGGGCTGTCCTGCATGACATGGTGGTTAAACACAAAAGTAAATGCAGCTCTGAGCTTCGGGAAATATGATAATAGAAGAAGAAAAAAATGGAACCATCAAACAGGAAGGAACAGCCCGTGCAGCTTACCTTGAGGCTGGATATAGATTTTACTGCTCTGGGAAACCTTAAGTGAAGAACAGAAACACTTAATGTCCACCGTCAAACACGTGTGAATACACATAGCTGTAAATCAAACGGTAATGACTCCATGTTTGTCTACACAAATGGCTTTAAATGTAGCTGCCTGCATTTATGTCAAACACAAAGAGATGTTTATTGTTTGTGCAGCACACATATTTCCACAAAATACAAACATTAAAAAAAGGAGCCAGGAGAGCGGCTTTTAAGACAATGCCAGTTTTTCCAAATGAAATCATAGAGGATGAAAATTAAATTGACTGGATGTTATCACCAGAGCCATTCACTGAGTGTTTTGTGCCACAACAAAAAGCCCGGCGTTGCCTTTCAGTGCCGGCCTGCCTGTCTGCCTCTCTGCCTGCATTTAAAAGGCAGAGATAAAGCATCCCACTTCCCTCAGTCTGCTGTCTACACTGGGATCTAATCTGAAAAGAAAACTCAGTAATGTTGTTTTAATGTCAAACTACTTTGCGACAGGCCAATATTGTGTTTGTGTAGTAAAAAGCTCTTGTTCTGAATTTATTGATGCTGCTGGGCTCCAGCTTTCTGACGATGTGCTGCGAAATGAAACACTGGCTTTGACCACTTCATTGTTCAGTGTTTTTCGCTATGGCAACCATGTTGACAGGCTGAAGTGTCATGACTCAGCATTCAAATATGTTCTGGTTTTAATAAACTTGCTAAACATAATTCGTGAACAACAGACTAGAAATATAAGATTGATAACTCAGACTGAGCTATATAATCAACTTCAATACCACAGCTGACCACAAGGGGCAGGCTCCAAAAACACATCCAGCCTATTTCATATCTCGGCTGTCATGGGAAAAAACATCATCACTACTACTATTCCTTTTAAATCTTTGTGTTTCTGGGAAATGCAACCCATAGAGCTGCCAGCTCCACCCTGCCTACGCCATCAAAGCTTGTGATTGTTTCACTTCAGCTACAGTTCCCCTCCCAGTTAAGCTGTGAATCTGTGGTCGATCATTTCAATTTCAAGCCGCCTCAGCACTTCTCACACATGACAGAGACCGATGCGGCGCAGGTCAAAAAGTAAACCTGAAAAATCCTTTTGGCTTCAGTAGCGTGATTCAAAAACTGTCATCTGAACATAATATCTGCATAGTTGGTCATTTATCTTTCTCTAGCGCCACCCTTGTATCATATAAGGCTGTGGTGGCTTTTTAGACCACATATTTGGATCTGAAACCATTTAAGGTGTGAACATCAGGCGTGAAAACGAAGAGCTGAATGGACGCAAATTTTCTGACATTGTTGTGGGCATTCTATTTTAAAGCAAGAGTCTCAGTCCGTCTAATGAAGTAAAAAATAGGGATATATTAATATCAACAATAAATAGATGATGCTTCCCAGTAATTCCAACTTTAGAATATAATTGATATGGGTCGGTGATCTAACTCAAAACAAGATAGGAACTCAGGAAGAACAGTTGTCGTTAAACTACATTGACAGTAGAGTGGGTGGACACTTTCCTACAAAAATCATTGCCAGGCTGTGAACTTTGCAACTACAGAGTTTTGGAGCCACGGGGCGAATTGCAGACGTACTCTTCTGCTGTATAGCTCTACATAGTTTCCAACTTACTAACTTTATCTGCAAACTTTTAAATAGAGGCTGTCTAAATCAGCTCTCACTGATCTTGCCGGAGTGGTTTGAGTCTGACAGAATATAAGAGCTGAATATGGAAACTAACTTTGTCAGAGTCTCTTTATATGTCAACACATCCCAGAATTTTGACCTATGTCTGAATCTATGTCAATCAAACTGTACCTCTATGTTTTGAATGTAAAGTTATAACGCATCCATGCATAGACACACACAAATTATATATATACACAAAACACAATATGAGCAGATATCTTTCTTTTTTGTATATACTGAATAGAGTACTGGACTAAGTAGGTAAAGATAAATACATGAATATAAACATACCAAGAATAATTCTGCCTCTTCTTTCAGTTTTTCAGTAAATGCGACAGCAAACCTGATTGGGAATTGGAAAGTAAATAATTAAGCACAAAACCTCATTGTCACCATTGTATACACAGCAGGCATGTTGGCACAATAAGACATTTCATTGGAGGCACTAAATCTTTGTAGTTTTACAAGAACAGAATATTTTGACAGCAGAGGGTAATATCAGTCAAATAAAAATAAGAGTGAGGGTAGAAAAGCTGCTTGTGGCTTATAAGAAAAGAATTTCAAGTTGAATACACAAAGGTATACACAATGAAAGAATAGGGTAATGTGAATGAGAAAACAGTGGGGGGTGTTAATTTGCATGTGTGCGAGTGCATTATTAAGCAGGCTAACACAGTCTGTGTGGTGACTAAATACCATGATCAAGATTTGAGAGATGATTGAGAGTGTAAATTTGCAAAAGCTGGATCTCACTTTGCCCTTGTCGACCATGTATACCAAGAGACAACAAAAATAAAAAAAGTATGATGTTAGGTAAGAGTACTAGCTACTGATAACTATTTTACTTTATAAATGATGGACAAAATTACCGACAAAACCCACAACCTGTGGGAAGTGGTAAAGAGATCATAATCTTGTTTTTAAATCAAAATAATGTAAATGCTAAGATACAATCCTGGGGAAAGAGAAGACGATCTTTGTTTTAATTTTATGCTCAGCTGGTGATCTATGTTGTTAGTTTGACAAAAAAAAAAAATCACGCAGTTAATGATATTAGGGGTTTTTCTTGATTTCATTTGAAGATTGTAAATCAAGAAGTGTAATTACATTTACTTTTTCTTGCACTTCAAGATGGCAACAGCGGCATCAAACTTCTACAAAAGGAAGTCTGCAAAAAAAGTTATTGTACAATATTTTGTGGCTTAAATCGCTGACAATTCAGAATAACGGCAGTGAAAAATGTATATTACCATTCCCAAAATAAGCCTTCAAACATCAAAAGCTCAGCTTTCTTACATATTACATGCTATGTTGCCTCAATAGAATAGCACAGATATAATTAATAAACATAAAAGCTACTTCTCCTTTTCAAAAAATTTTTCCCCTAGGGAAACGGTCTACAGTTCATCATTGCACCAAATTAAAGATCAAAACTTAGTTATTCACGCTGTACTTCTCTGGAATTAAAAAATCTAAAGATAGTGCTAAACAGCAGCATCACCTGGCTTTCAGCAGCACCTGCTCCATAACCACACGGTTCTGTTCCACTTTCACATCTTCATTTATGTCTGTTCCCCCAAAGATGACACCAAAGGGCACTTGGATGTCTACAGCAAAGGGAAGGCATAACACAAAAAGTTAATGGTGCACATATTTGCAGACGTGTTGTTCTAATTTGTGCGAGTGACTGAAAGTTAAAACAACCAATATATTAACAGTTAATGTAAGAAACGTGCACCTAAGAGAAGTCTGCCTGCTTTGAACAGGTGAATAGCCAGTGCACCCTCAAATGGACTTCGGGATAGTAGATCTGCCACATCAGCTGAAGAGTGAAATTCCTTTGTGTCCCTTAGCTCACAAGTGTGTCCCGCCGATTCAATGTAAGACCTGAAACATAAAGCATAGCAAATTAAGGATGGCTGGCAGTGGTGACATCTATGCAGTTCTCATTTAACTCATGCTTTGTAATAATATATATTTTTTAATATAATAAATAATAAAAACAACTATGAATTATCTTAGATTCTCGGTGGTGATTTATTTAGGGTTTTCTAAATGGGGGTGGGGGCTCAATATTGGCCATTCAAGGTGAAAGGAGCCGTCTAATAAGAAGATGGCAGATGGCTGTGATGAGTTTACTGAGAAAAGTTGGGTTGGAACCTGTTCCCAAAGGCTTTTGATGGTTAAATATCTCACAATTTATCCATATATGACTGAAATATTGAATTATAACCTAATAGAGATATCACTAGTAATGTATGTGGCATCTTCAAAGGAGCATTTATTTATTTTTTTCGCTTGTCAGAGACATTTTTAAATGCGGTTTACGCAGTTTCACTTGACAACCGGACATGAGCACTTCCTCTATGTCAAATAGCCAAATTAAAGATCACATGGTCGCGTAAAACTACTGTGGCTTAAAGCCATGGTAAAGTAGGGGGGGTGACTCATATTATCTAAGCTTATTAAATACATACACCGTACAACAAAGTGTGACGTTTCTCCGGCCATGGCTCCAGCCTCACATGGCCCCGGGTACGCTACGGCCACGGTGTCACTGGCTGATTATTAATTCAGAGCAGCTGCTGCGGGCTACACGTCACACCAGAGTAAATTACCTTATTCTCTCCGCTGTTGTATGATTCCCAGTTTTGGGGCTGAGACAAGCGAGAAAGAGTAATTTCATATCTCCGTTAAAAGCTACTTTGCACATAAAAGGTGGAATGGGGTGGTAAGAGGAACCCCCGAGCTGCTGTCGGGCCGCGTATCTGAAATCCTATCACATTTCCTGAACCCATGCCCGTAGACTACACGTACGTTAAAGCGAACAGCTCTAACGCGGCTCTCTGTTTCTGTCACCACGTTGGGGAATGTTTACAAGTCCGTCTCCTTTATTACTCCCTGGAAACACATGCCGGTAAATCATCGCTGTCTGATTTAAGTATTTTCTGCTTTGTAATAACAATTTAAGAAGTAATAAGCAAGAAAAATCCACATCATATATAAGCCTCCAAGCACATTCCAAATCATACCATGCTCCTCTCTAATAAGCAACATAAAGCTGGCGGAGTGGACTTCCTTCTTGTAACGGTACACGACATGCGCAAAATGAGCTAATTTCCAAACTATGCGGATGGACCGTCTGACGACTTTTCCGGGCGACCTCACCACCAGGCATTTTCTATAGATCATCTCAATGGCGACGCAAGTGTGACAGTTTGTACTGTGCTGGATGTCACGCGATAGTACTGTGACACTTTTTTTTAAACTTCCAGTTCTCTCTTGATAAAGTATCAACTTAACGAGAAACAGACTAGACACCTGAGCTGTTGACATAAACAAAGTTCACTGAGGCTACTGATGACCACTGAGAAGTGTTTCAACAGTTGAAGGTAATGTAAAAACAAATGGATACATTTCGTAGTGCTACAGCTAGCTTAATGTTTTTTTTTTGTTTTTTTTACTAAGTGCTTGTTTTGCTATGTGACAGACAGGGCAATTAGTCTGACCATTCAGATGTTTTGAAGTTGGCACCATTGAATGTTTCCTCAGTGTAAACGGTGTTGACAACTCGTACTCCATTTATTACCTCAGTTGTTATTTAATTTGTCTCTCTGCCTGCAGGTTTAACTCTCTCTCAGCGGGAAGACGCCTGTTTGGAGCGATTTTCTTTTTAAAAAAGAATGGCGAACAGGGATGCTAGTGAGAGCACCCCGCTTTTGGACTCGCCGAGCAGACCTGCACCTCCTTCTGTCTTCCAGGGAAGGAGACTAGCCTGCGCTGCCATCCTGCTGGCTGAATCTCTAGAGAGGATTGCATTTTATGGCATCACATCCAATCTGGTTCTGTTTCTCAATAGTAGCCCTTTCTATTGGGAAGGTACTCAGGCCAGCCAGGCACCCCTGATGTTTATGGGAGTAACTTATCTGATTTCACCATTTGGAGGATGGTTAGCTGATGCATATCTTGGAAAATTCTGGACAATTGTTTCAAGCTTGATCCTATATATTGTTGGCATGCTGTTCTTCCCGTTCATTTCAAATGAAGACACCAGGATAAACCTATGTGGAGAAGAGGTGGCGTTTCCAGTGCAACCTGCGGAGTGTTTGAGCACAAACAGCACTCCACGAAATGTGACTTGCCCCATCCGCACAGCATATTGTGGCCCACTGGTGTACAGTGGACTTTTTTTAATTGCATTAGGTGTGGGCACTGTGAAGTCCAATATCACTCCATTTGGGGCAGATCAGGTAGAGTATAAACAATAATATTTTCACATCTCACATCTATTAAAATACGACAGAAATAGAGGAAGGGAAATTCCTTAGAAACCTGAACGCCTGCGTATTAAATTGTTTTCAGTCCTGTTTAAGATCGGGTATGCTGTGTGACACGTGATCACATGTATTTTATAACGTGTCATTTCCCTTTTGCCATCAATATGAAAGGGTTGAACATCTCACAGAAATTCAGAAAAGCAACCTCCGTCTATTATGCATACTCTTTTTCTCCGATCCCATTAATTCTAGATTTATCTGTTGTGTAAAATGTCCACAGATGCAAATGCTGAAGAGTTTCTCTCCTCCCTCAGTGAGATGTGCTTTTTTTTTAGTTTAATTTCATCTTTGAAACAGTTGTTCTCACATTCTGTTAAAGAGCCCTGATTAATATGCTGAAATCTTACAAGTCTCAGAAATAGTGAAGTAATCCCAAACCATAACATCTACACGTTTACGCCCAAAGTCTGCCATGATTTTCTTTTCCTTAAAAACTGCCTGAAGCTTGGCAACAAACATGAAGTGTTCCTGTGGCTGGAAGACTATTTTTAACTTTTCAGATAAGCACAAACATTCTAAAAAGCTGAGTCTTTGCGTTGAAAGAGTTTGCAAACAGTTTTTTTCCTTTTCTCCTGTTACTTTCCTTTTCCATGTGGGTGAGTTTTTTTTTCTTAGTCAGAGAAAAGGGCTTTAACACAGATAGTTGAAATCACTGCAGATGTCAAGAATGTTTGGATGGAGAGTTTATGTATCAAGTGGTTCTCTCTTAAGTTTAATTTGTTGGAACAGCTAGTTGAAGGTATTCTAGCAGTTATGTGAAATCTTTGGCACATAGATTCATAATTCAGTTAATTAGAGGGGCTTTTGTCATGCATTTACTCCATTGTTTGGGAAATGCAACCCTTTTTTCCAAGATCTTTAAATGATAACAGCCCACACTTAAAAAACAAAGAGATTTAGGGAGTATTATGAAATAGATAAGGCATATTTTGCATGTAACACCATAAGGTAGTCCACATTATTGGCTCATTATTTGAAATCCTTCATTTAACTTTGAAAGACACAGTTTTGGATGTAATCTTTTACTTTGCAAATTTAGTGAAAAATACAATCTGTGCTTCTTCCAGGAGAATGTTGCCTCCTCACTGGGTTCTGTTTCTAAGAAGGACCTTTTTCCAAATGTCTTAGGAACGGTTTGAATGGAATGTAGCTCCCTCACATGACTGAATCTCCATTAATAAGTTGATTAGTTTTGGATGACGGTCAACAACAAAGTTTCTCACTTTGAAAAAAGATTCCCATAAACACCCGAGGAAAATGCTTTCAGTTACTTCTGTGGTAATAAGTAAAACATGCAAGTCCGTTTGGTGATTTAGCTTCCTGAGGGGCCTTTGGACAGTGGTCATGGGAATAGGGACGTCTGTCAGTGAATCTCAATCTTACAAGGAGTAAATAAAGCCATTCAAAGAGGACTGATGAGGTGAACGTGATCTGAAATCAGGCCCTTTATGGTTAATCAAGCCCTTGGCATGCACCAAGTGTGTGTGTGTGTGGGGGGGGACATCATGGTTATATCATCCATAAACTTTCTTTTAAAAAAATGAAGAAGAAAAAGAAGATTAAATCTGAAGTTCATCATGTGATGGCAGTTTTTTTAATGCTTTAATTATGTTCCAGTTAAAAGTCTTGAGATGAACCATGATAAACAGAAAATTCCCTCTTAAGCATGGTCTGATTCTGGCTGTAGAAACAATGGCACAGGGATTGCTGTGGCTTTGCAGCTTTAGTTTTATTTGCATCATTTTGCAGAGTTCCTATGACTAGAGTTTAGCTGTGAACTAGAGCAACTGAATCTTTTGACCTGGTGATGTGCAGAGCTTAAAGTCCTGATGGGAAGCTGGAGCCAGATTCAGAGGGCAGGAATAGCTGGACGGTGTCTTTGGTACTTTCAGTCCAATGTGTCAGTTGATCCTCTGTTGGGATTCCTGATGAAGAAATGACACAAAAGCACCACAGTGTGCTGGATGCTTTTCTCATCCTTGGCTGATTAAGGCAAAAAGTGAGGGAGGAGCAACATGTTTTGCATTTTCATGTAGCATCTAAAAGCCTTTGTTGGTAAAGTACAAAGGTAATGAGTAATTTTTAAATTAACATTGCAAAGTACAATAATAAGCCCCTGGTAGATTTGGTTTGCATTTGGATTTTGTCTCACCCCAGGTAAATTGTAGTTGTAATGGTGCATTATTTGTTGTAATTTATAGGGCATTTCCATTGTGTCATGTGCCTGTAAAAGCTTTTCCTTGATAATAGCTGCATGAGGAACAGATTAGTGCCGTCATGAGAATACTCGTTTTCTTGCATAGATTATTAGCTGAATTTACTGCACTTCTGCTCAGCATACTTGTGCTCAGCATACATCGGAGGTTGTTAGAATGTAGTGTAAATATGACATTTCCATTTTCTTTTGTAATTCTTCAGGAGAGTGAGGAAAAAGAACAACACTGTTCTGTTCAAATTGTGTATGCTTGTGCCACTGCAGAAATCAGGGTACACGTACACTTCCTCTACTTCAGGGAATGAAAGTTATCGGCGTGAACATTTGACTCACCCTAAATGACAAAGTCACAGCTTGCCTTACTGTCACGGTTCTCCTTTAAAGACAAACTGATGTTGTTACCATAGCCCCAGATTGCATAAACCACCACTACATGCCGTATTTGTAAATACAAAACCTGGTTTTCCAAAGTGAACCGGATGCATGAGGCAGAGAAGTCTTTCATGTCAGAAATGTAACAGAAACAGTCCAAAAATTGATGCATGAGCAATAAAATTTCTGCAAACAGGAACCTGCCAGGGTCTCCCTGCCTGCAGACTGATTGTTTCCTCTTAGCAAAGCTTATCATGTCACCAGTAAGATCAGGGCCATGTCGCGCCCCCTTGTACTTGTCAGAATTAGGAACATAAATGCATGCTGAAGTGCTCTGCTATCTCTGATCTAAACCATGCTTTCTCAGTCATTAAATAGGCTCATTTGGTTGTTGTTGTCATGGCCCAGTAAACAAACTGGGTTTAGGGGTGAGGAGGGGGGGGGGTCCACAAAAAAGATAAATCAAAATCCTGTGTAGGGCTTTCATAGATGAGTTTGCACCTGGAAGACAGATGAGTAATTCACATATAAAGGAAAAACGTTAAAGAGGAACTGTCGTGTCAACTGTTACAAAGTTGATTTGCACCCAACATCTTCTGTGTGTGATCGCAGGTCAAAGACAGAGGACCCGAGGCCACACGCCGATTCTTTAACTGGTTCTACTGGTGCATCAACCTCGGAGCCATCGTGTCTCTGGGCGGCGTGGCGTACATTCAGCAGAACTTCAGCTTTGAGCTGGGCTACATCATCCCCACTGTGTGCCTCGGGGTGTCCTTCCTGGTCTTCCTCCTGGGTCGTACTGTGTTCATCATGAAGCCCGCCGACGGCAGTGCCTTTTCAGATATGTTCAAGATCATGGGCTTTGCCTGCTGCTCACAGAAGCCGACGGAGCCCAGCCTGCTTCGGTGAGAGCTGCTCATCTGTGTGTCAATAATTGCACATTGATTTGCATAGTGAGAACAAAAACAAAAAATAACATGAATGAAATTCTCAGGGAGCGTGCAGTAGTAAAATCCTCTCACAGCATGCTGACTTTAACACCGCTCAGATAAAGAATTTTCTGAGGTTGTGTTTCAGAAACAGGGCCCTTTTAAAGTTAAATAAAAAAAATAGTAAATTGTGGACATTGATACCATAAAGGGAACGCCATAAGAGTATAAGATTTTAAACGTAATTTCCCTTAACTTATACATTTTTTCTGAAGTGAGCAGCAGGCACCTCTGGCACGCTTATCTTTCATTTTATATCCTTATTTGAGCCGTCCATATATACATTGATAAATATTTATATTTCCAACAGCTTTCTCCCAGTGGTGAAAATCTGTTCTGATGTGGTAAAACTTGACTTTGAAGCAAAGCAGCACAAGCAGCTCAAAAAACTTGCCATTGAATATTTTAACTTGAACAATCCAGCAGTCTTTCAACAATTCCTTATTAAAGCATGTTCTCAAGAGATGAGGATTATAGGCTTAAGCATAAAGTTTCTCTCCTATCTCTAGAAGTGCTATTATTAAAGGGTAAGATGTTCTCATGAAAGGCTGATTAAGTCTCTTCAAGAGTTGAGACCAGCTAGACTTCAAGCATATTCTACATTTAATTATTTTTTAAAATGACTTCATCCTTTTGATCACTCTGTAGTCTTAATAGTATTTCAAGTTTTTCTTCTTTATTGATTTTTTGATGCATTTGTTCTTTTGAAGCAACAAACCAGCACTACTTGATAGTGCAAAAGTCACCTACGGAGGCAAATTTCCAGAAGAAAAAGTAGAGGAAGTAAAAGCACTGGTGAAAGTCCTTCCAGTTTTCTTTGCCCTTATTCCTTACTGGACCGTGTACTTCCAGGTAAGATCATCTCTTTATTTTTTTTTTTAAAGTTAACAAACACAAAGGAATGCACAACGCCCGAGCAAGCTTGCTGGATGCAGATATGCACAGATGTGTTAATATGCAGGGAGATTATTTTCTGTGGAGGATTGGCTTTACACCAGAGACCCTGTTGATCATAAAGTAGAGAATTGCTTCATGCTGAGACTAATCTCCTTATTGTGCTGCAGATGCAGACAACATACATCCTGCAGGGCCTCCATCTGAGGATTCCTGATACAGCCTCGAACAGCTCCGCCGACTCCCATCAGGTAACCAAAAGTGGAAACGCTTTTAATCCATATTTTCTATCTTGTTTTATTGAATAATATTACTTCATGTGGTTCGATATGGTGATTTATTAGTCTAACTGTACTATGCAATTGCGCAGAATTAATAATCATAGCATGGAGCTCTAACAAGCTTTCCCATAAGTTGTATCGAACTAGATTTATTTTTTCTCAACTGAGAAAAAAGGCTCATTTGGTCACAGACTCACGATGCTAGGCAACAGCTGGAGGCAGAAGCAAAGGCTTGTAATTCCTTGGAGATTAAGTGAGAACTTTACAGACTAATACCTCGCCGATTAGCAACCTGGCTGCGATTGTATCGTTCAACAGCTGCCCCTCCATCTGATGCTTCATGGCATTTGTTGCTGATGCAACTCACTCCTACAGAGTGTATGTTGAGTTTCAGAGGGCTTTGATGAGTCCCGCAGCTGCACCACTTGATACTCGACCCTGGAGGATCAAAAGGTTTAGAAGCAGTGAAATGGCACAGACTAGATAGAGCAACATGTGCCCGCACTGAGCAGCTATGCTGGAGGTGTTAAGAACTGTTCCGGCCTCGCAGGAAAGGAAGGTGAAACATTTGCCTGTTAAACATTATCTAACTTTGTATAAACACCGTCTAGATATTCATGCTTTCTCATATTTCACTGTAACACTCTCGAATATTTTGTTCACTCATCATTACAAGCCATTTTTAACTTTCTTGAAGAATTACACGTGCACAAGTTTCTTTTCCTTTTTTTTCCCTACCCTCTGTTTGTTTGGTATCAAAAGAGGAATTAAGCCTTTTCCGCTATCAGCCTTGACACTTCTCAACATCAAAAGGGAAGTGAGATTAGGTGCCTCTGTGATTTTCTTTCCCTCACCTCACTTGACACATTTCAACAGCTAACCTGAACAAACACTGTCTTCTCAAGGAAACGGAGCTCATATTAATGAAACACAATGAGAGCCAGGGCTTGAAATTATTTAATAATTTGACATTTTACATTACAATAATTAAACTTTCTAATGTTTGACTGTTCACTTTTGCATGGTTCCAGGGTCTTTGAATTAACAGGTGACAATGACTGCAATCTGCTCTGTGAAATAAATCCATAGAATTGAGAATTTCCAGGGTTTTAGTTTGCAGTAGGATTTTTTTGTAAATATCTTGCTTCTGTTTCCTGAACTCTTGAATTGATTTAACAGAGTAAGGCGGTTTGTTTTGATTTCTCCAACATCCCTGCCTGACTCTCGCTGGCAAACAAGTCATTTCACTCAGAAAACGTCATTTCGAATATGATTATGTGCCAAGGAGAGCAGAGCACACTCTAAGAAGTTGTGTGCAGGCTGGTTGCACTGGTGCCAAGAAATGAAAATTTAATTTAAGAATAAATTATGCGATCACAGGTTTAAAACCAGACACACACCAGGACAATGGTCTGGGGATTTTCATACCAAAAACCAGCTCCAACAATTTCCACATCCAGTGAAGTGGTTCCTGAACTTGTTGGTGTGTTCTTACAGTGGATTTTCTCCCTACTTTCTAATACTAGTACAGTAGTTTCAAACATAGTTTCTAGTACACTTTAAATACTAAACCATAAAGTATCGATTAACATTTGTTCCTTAAAACACTTTTTCTACTCCTGCTGTCACTATGAATACAAATCCTCCTGTTTGCTCACCCTTTAAATTTATTTGACTGTGGGCTTTTTCAGAGTGCATTGAATTAGTGTTTGTTCATTAACTAAGTTTTGTACTTGACCACCTGGGGGTGCCAAAGCAGTATCAACACTGGGGTTTCCTCAGTGAACACATGCGAACGTAAGAAGTGTGCTGGAATGCACTTGCATCCGCTGTTGTTCTCATGCTTTGTTGCTTCTTTTGCATTTTTAATCTCATCTTTCTCCTCTGGTTCCCCCAGATGACATTTCGCTTCCCAGCTGCATGGCTCACCATGTTTGACGCAGTGCTCATTCTGATGCTGATTCCCCTGAAAGACAAAGTGGTGGACCCCATCCTGAAGCGCCGCGGCCTGCTGCCTTCCTCTCTGAAGAGGATTGCAGTGGGGATGTTCTTTGTCATGTGGTCAGCCGTGGCAGCGGGTGAGTGCACTAACAGGCATGTTCTGGTTTAAATAGTCACTTAAACCGGCCCAAAAAACAGAACAGGTTTTGGGGGATAAATACTGCATGTAATCAGGGCTTTCCGAGGAAGTGGCACAGAAGCTTTAGTAGCACATCTGCACCGTTTACTCATTTCAATTATCAACACTGTTTTTGAGAATTAGCGAATCAACAGTGAGAAAATACCGCAAGGAAACTGCCACTGAGCCAGAGCTTGATCTGGTGTGAGTATGATTAATTTGAACTGGCAAATCCTTTATTTAACTAATGATTACATTCAGTGTGTTGCTTTTTGTGGAGCTCAGCAGATGGTCAGTCACAGATGTGTAATTCATCCCTGAATCAAAACATCAACAACCTGGCAAAAGGGAAAACAGCCCAGAGGAAGAACTATTCTTTTCCTACACTGACAAGCCGCAGTGCTCCTCAGTCCTGGTGATTATTTCTGAATTAAGTCTCAGCCAGGCCTGTCAGTGGGGGCTGCAACATTGCATCCACGATAAAATGTTTTGAGAGATGTGGACTGAAGATGAAGCGAGCGCAAATCACAGCTTTCTTTGTGGTGTCATCTCACAATATTCCTGTTTTTTTAGGTACACATTACACCCCTGGCAGTAATTTTACCGACTGGCAGTTGACCATTACGCATACATTTAATTCAAATTGACAGCATTTGCAAAATATAATTTAACTTTTTAAAAATTTTTGTCAAACAATGTAAAGAATAATTAATCACTGAAGAAACCAGCAGTTTAGAATCATGAATAGAAAAATATAATGTAGTTTAACACAATCTTAAAATACCTGCTCTGGATCTGAACAACTGTTAACACAGCTCTCTACAAGTTACAACTCTTTAATGATTTAAGCACGCCTTTAAGATATAATCCAGCTCATACCTCAGCTGTTTTGTGTATGTGTACTACATTAGTAATAGGCCGTCCCTTCCTAACTGCCCAACAAACTAAAAAACTTCATTCATAATAATATTCATATGAGTTTCAGTATCTAGCAGATATAAATTTATTACCATTGTCTGATTCTTGTAGCTTTGAGTCCAATAAATATTACGTGATTTTTATAAACTTAATTTTTCCCATATACAGAATAGTTTAAATATAAAAATCAGGGTCTTAAATGAAATGCTTACCATGAGTTAAAGATTACATAAATTAGATTTTTTCTGAATGGTTTTCTTTTCATTTTTCAAAGAAATCTTCACATACGGTTTTGAAAACCTATCTTAGTAAATGGAAAAGTCCTTTTCAGTTTGTACAGTGCAATAGAACCTCCATTTAGAAAATATAATGTGTCTAGTAATAGTTTCTTTTTAGAATCCATTTGCTTTCCAACAAGCTGAGTAAATATGTTCATTTCAATGTTTAAAAGCTTTTCAAGTATTATTTTTCCATCAGACTATTTTGAGAAAAAAAGAGCAATACTTGCAAATTCAGGCAAAATAACTGAATACTGCAGGAAGCAATTTCAAGTTCTTGAAGTGGAAAGAAAAGGTTTAAGATGTTGCTGTGCAGTGGGCATTGGTCACAGACTAGTAGAGGAATACACAACTACTGTGCAATGCAGTTCTGACCTGGATTCTGGGTGACAAATCAGACAACATGATCAAATCTATTGGAAATAAAACATTTTAGAATGAGCCGTCCTCTGTGGCTGGTATGAATGATTTCTTTGTGAAAATTCCTCTTAGCGAAAATAAATCACTAAGTCAGTGGGTAATTTATCCACGGCATTTCTTTACTTCACATTTATTCAGATACGCACAGCGACTCCTAAGAGCTCTTTTATATTATTTTAAAATTAGGATGCATCTTTTTTTGTGTCCTCTGTGCTTATCTCTTAGGCTGTACAAGCTAAAATCAAGTTGTTAGGACTGGCGGATTAATAAGAGTGAAATTCCTGGTATGACATCTTTTGCCCAAAAAATATCTGGTTTCAGATATTACTGTGTCCCCAGCACAGATCAAACCAGAGCTGATCAGGGTTAGTATCCCTTTCGACGTGTATGAAATGTGTGGGAATTTGTCTAAAATGGCTGCAGTAGAATTACACAGGGTTTCAAAGTGCATTTGCAAACACATTTCACAGTCTGAGGACAGCTAGACTTCCCATGCAGTGAAGGAATGGATGAAACATGTTGTCAAGCAGGAAGTGAACTCTTTCTGATCATTTGTGTGCAAGACTTTAGACCAAAACCACAAGTTAGCTGTAAAAAGCTATGTTGATGTTGGTTTTCCCCCCACTTTATCTCTTTATTAATGCATTTGCCAACATTATCTGAAGTCTATGTTCTATTTTCACTGAAGTTCAAAGGTTTTAACATGTCTAAAAGCTTTTTCTTTATATAAAAGCTGAGACACACTGGCTAAGGATGGCACGGTGTAATGTGTGATGTTTGGGGTAATGGGGGTGTGTTTTTAAATGTGTGAGACTAGCTATGGGCAGCCCAGTGGCCACACTGCTGGAGATGGACAGCTGGTATTATTGGATATCCGGATTACAAGGCTACAACCCCTCTCAAATATAGCATTAAGTGTAGTTATGATAGGAAGCTATGTCTGTGAGTTATCTGGAAATAGCCAGTGGGCACACGATAACAGCGATCGACTAAAGCTTTAAGGAAGCAGCCGCAATTGATGACAACTGCTTGGTTGTTATTATTGAACTGCCTACACTGTCCCATTACTAAGTGCCAGAATATGAAAGTGTGCAGATGGGATCTTCATAAAGTGCTGCAAAATCCCTAAAACTAGCTAAATCCCTGATGGGGTGTCGCTGAATCAGGGTGCATTTGGCTGTTTTTTGGCTTTATGGATGTCAGAGTAATGAAACAAGTGTGTTTTCATCTTTCGCAAAATATGGCATTCTTAATATGCAGTTTTCAGATGTTTAAAGCTATGAAAATGAAGGCATGTAGCCTTTTAACTCATTTTGTGAGCATAATGAAAATGATGGGTTTGTTATTAGGTTTAGTTAATTAGATACACCCCCAGATTGCCAACAACTTTTTACATACAGTATGGAGTCATCACCTTAATTATTTCATTTGTTATTTAATCTTTAAGATGCACACATATAAATACCTGCAGACAATCAGTGGAACAATGATGTGAAGGAAGGTGGGCTGATCTCCACAACAATGGGACAGAGTGACGACACCGTACAGAAAAAGATGACTCCACATTATTGCTGCATGCGGTTGATCTGGTTGAGCTTTTAATGTTTCATATGCAGATTTTTTTATGTTCAATAAATAATGACATGCCATTATGTTTTATGTGCTGGTGCTCATTAGAGGTTGTGTTAACTTAATTTCAAGACCTGGTAAGAACCAGCTTGTTTTCATTATGTCCTGATCCATGAAATCTTGGAATTGAAAGATTTCCTATTTTTTTCTAGTAATTCTATATATAACTGCATAAACTATTGTGTTTTTTCTAAATAATTCTCTGCCTCTAAGCTAATTGTGTTCATATTCTTTCTTTTCTGCCTCCTCCGCTCCAGGTATCTTGGAAACTAAACGCCTGGAGATCGTAAAATCAAATGGCACCATTGACCAGGTGCTTGGCAATGTTATCTACTACGCAGCAGATTTGCCCATATGGTGGCAGGTGCCCCAGTATGTGCTGATAGGAATCAGCGAAATCTTTGCCAGCATTGCAGGTACAGTTGTTTGGCTTCCTCTGAGGACTGTGTTAAAACCTCTTTTAACTGTGGCATGGGGAGGATTGTGAGTCAGACGAGCAGTGAAACACAGTATGAGTCAGTGCGGGGAGTCATGTTCTCAGTTTGCCTGATTTGGCTCCACAAATAACCGCTGTAAACAGATTGCGTAGTAAAACCTCCATTGCCCATTCTTTTTGGCAGACGACAATGAAGACTAATCTCCGAACCCCTTTTGTGCTCTTTGCTTGATTCATTGCCAGACTGCACCAGGTTAATGTGTTTGTGGGTGCTGTCCAGAGCAAATGCCCCTTGGACATCAGTTGATCGTTGATTATCCTGATTGTTTTTCTCACTACTGAAGGCCATTGTTCAGTAATGAAGCATTTTATAAATAACCTTTTTCCAGGAATTTGACCAGCCTCATAATAGGCCGTTTTGTCCAGACAGTTATTGTAGACAGGAAGATGGATAAATATGCAGTCATGTCCTTTGTAACCATGATAAAGTACTCACATGCTACGCAATTATTAACATAAACCACAAGTCATTTACATATGCACATTTGAAATCATAATGAGAGTGAACTTCCTGCTCCCGCCATTTTCTATACTCGCTTAATCCAAATCAAGGTCACCGATGGGCTGGAGCTTATCCCAGCTGCCAGCGGGAGATAGGCAGGATATGTCCACCACAGGTCACCGGTTCATGTCAGGGACAACATTAACGTGAACAAGGCAAACAATACTTTCTCAAACGCACTCCTAGGGTCAATTTAGAATAACCAGTCAAACCAAAATGCATGTTTTTGCCAGGGTACCTGGAGAGAACATGCCAACATTTCTTCTTACTGGGAGGTCACGGCACTGACCACCACACCGCCGTTTAACCTTTGGTCCCTCTATTACTCACAAAAAGGCCACGTACCTGTGAGAGATTATCCATCTGTCCACCCACTTTTTTAATGCCAACGAACAACACACAGAGACATGATGCTACGGCTTCACCTTATGCATATTTTAATACATATCCATTTAGCTGGCTTTTCCAGATTAAAAGATTCTGAGAATCCATAGAAATCTCTGCACACCATCGAGGGACAAAACTGAGTGGCCTGAATGCAGATGGCACAGTTCTGGAGTCAAAATCCCCTTTTGTTTTTCATTTCAAAACCCTCTTTTAATATACTATATATACTTGCTATATACTTACTCGCGTACTACATGAACTAGACTCAGCTGTATTGTAACAGACAGCCATGTCTGAACATAACTGAAAAGATGTTTGCAACATAAATATTTTCAAGTTTCATTAAAGTTATTAACTTCTTCTCCATTGAAGAAAGTGTTTAAAAGAAAATAAACAACAGCACAAGAGTTCTTGGGATGCATGAAAATCTGGCCATGTATTTTTTCCACTCTGGCATTCACTTAGGATAGGGTGAGCAGTTTTCTGTCAAGCTCTCTGACATTACAAGCACACCATACAGATCCTCATTTAGTTCTAAATCTCAGTGGGAATCACTTAAAGAGGCAGATGTAAGCTCAAAGGTATGCACACTCAGACACTCTGGCAAGAGAACATCCAGGAACACGTCAGGCTTGATTTGCATTTCTGTACATTGCACACATTTGTGTAGCACATCTTTAACATCAGGACTTAATCATTTGCAGTACACAGGTTTGGAGCTATTTCTTTGGGTATCCATGAATAATGTTTTTAATTGAGGCTTTTGTAAAAGGGTATAACTAAACTTTATTCAGAATGTATTACTTTAGAGTGGCTGCTGAAGCGGCAGGCCTGCAGGCCATACCTGTTACCCACTTACAGATGCCGTTCTGTAGTGAAATACATCAAAGAGAGAGTAAACGAAATAATAGATCAACCAAGAATAACCAAATGCATCAGATTCTAATTAGGTTAAAAATGTGTTGTATATTTTTCATTACTGCACATTTTCCATTTACACTGATGCATTTAGCAGATGCTTCTATCCAAAGCGACTTACAAGGCTACAACAGAATTTAGTACAAAGCAATTTACAATAAGCAGTTGTAATATCAAGAGTCTGCCGGGGGTGGAGAGCAGATCTTCAGATCAGTCGAATGCAGTTTGAACAAGAACAAGAAACAAGAGAATGTTGGGAGAGATGATTTAAGGAAAGTGAAAGATGAGTATTAATTAGAGTGCTCCTGGAAAAGCAACGCTTTTAAGCGCTTCTTAAAGGAATAGAGGGATCACTAGACGATGTTCTTTGGAGGAAAGAAGGAGCCAATGGTTAACCCCAGGTCTGCATGAGAGTATTAAGGTAGGTGGGAGCGGACCCCAAAGATAGAATCAGAGGGTTGCATTTGATCTGATTAGCCATAGGTAGAAAGTGTAGCTGCATTCTGGACTATCTGACGTTGCTTTTCCTCACAAACTGGGCGGCCTAACCCTAAGCTGTTAGAAAGGCAGGGGGAATTGTTGCAACTGTTACTCTTACAAAGACGGAAGATTGAAAGCTTTTACACTTTAGCGAAAACTTCCTTTATTCCATATTTAGTCCTAAAAGAACATGTGTCTCTGTGAAATGCTTTGATTTTCTTTCTACTAAGACATCAATCATTTTGCTTTGCGATTTGTGAATCTCAGGCAAACTTTTCAGTGTACCCGGGATGATTTAATCCTGTCTGTTTCTCTTGCTTTTCACTTGATTAGTCAGACACAAATTCTCATCAAAGCGTGGTTTCCCATGATCCTTCACTGGAATTTCATCAGTGTGTGTTTTTCCTCAGAGAAATAGACTTCCTCTTATTTTTTAAAACGATTCAGTGAAAAAGGACTGACATCAAAGGTGGTCAAAATGGTTCATGCTGAAAGTGACTGCTGCAAGCACTTCGTTTTTGGGTATGAGAACAGAAAGCTCCATTTTATTTCTTTTGAACTTTGGCCTAAAGAAGAAATGCAATTTAACACGAATACTTAAGCTTGACAAAGGGAAAAATTATTAATGCAATCAATAGCAACTATATTATTTGTTAAAATATATGACTTTGAAACTTGCCTCGTGTGGTTTGTCAGTATTACCCACTGTCTGCATTTGTAACTATATATTTTTTTCTCTATGGTCATGACGATTCAGTGATTTCTGTAATTAATGTTTGGTAAGATCGTTTAGTCATTCTTCCATTACAGTGGATTATATATATACTATATACTTTTAGAATGTCTTTTTTCCCCAACTCATTCTCAAACCATTTCAGTCACTTTATCATTTTTATTTGATTGAACATTTATCATCCGTAAGATTAAAATTCATGGATACTGAAATTTGTGTTGAAAGCTTGGGTATTACATAACGCTTGATCAAGGTTCCTGTGAAACGCATCGGAATCCCTATGAATCTAACATGGTCCCTATGAAAGTCAAATCTGGCCTAACAAAGCTATAGAACCTTTAAAATAAATGCACTTTCCTTCAAGATTGTCCCACTTGGCTTATTTCAAGGAAAGCTGGCTGACAGGATAGTGACCTTTAGCTGGTAAAGAAGAATATTTCCATTTTGTCGTGTTCTGTTTGAATAAATCTGTTTTAAAACCAGACTTTTCTAGTGCAGTGCCCTCCCTAGTTGAGCAATAGGTTAGTTATTTCCATACAGATACACTCAGTTTGTGTACCTCCAGGTAGAAACCCACTGCCTTTGAAGGAAAAAAGTCATGCGCATTTGGTTTGGACATTTTACCCCATTTTACATGTTTCCCAATTTCTGAATAATCCCTTTGGTTAAGAAAGACGACTTACTGTCTGTGGTCAAACCAATAGCATGACTTTGATCTCACTCTGTTGTCAGGGAAAGACAATTGCAGGATTTAGCATGATGTAACGGACCTGTCCGCAGGGTTTGCCGTCTCATTGAACCTGCACCAACTTTTGCAGTCCCCTGTGATACACAGACCTGGTTGCTCATCGCTCAGCAAAAGCTTGTCTCAGGTTATTTGTGAAAAGTTCATTCATATTTTCAGTTTCCTGGACTGAAAGCTTTCTTTTACATAACAAGCACATGTATATCATTCATAAGAGGGCTGTTCTCCCTCAACGAAAGAGTTAAGAATTAAACATATTTATCTACAGTGCCCTAATCTCTCCAGACAGATGTAGCTATAGGGCCTCATCTGACAGATCATATGTTTGTGGTGCCATGAAATTATCAATGTCAGCTTGCAGCAGAGAATTTCTTTAGGTAAAATAGCGTTGGATTTAATGTGTCTTTTTTTCTCCCACACTCCCCAACACATCGTTCCTTCCCTTAGGTTCCCAGCCAATTTTCTTAGTGCTATAAACAATAAACAATAAGTCATGTATACCAAGCAGAGTAGAAACCCAAATATGGCACCACAGACCAATGCCATCTTTGAAATAATCTACCAAACAGCTGCTGAGGTACAGCATACAGAATACTAAACAAAACCTATTATGTTACAACAATACATGAAGACTTGCATTGCATCCCAGCACCTTGAGCCCCTGTTTATCTCTACTATAACCAAAATGAACCTGACACTATTTGTTCAGCTAAGCCAATGTCAGAGTATTTTACACTATATTGCAGTCAATACTACACAGACATTTTTCTACATAGTGACAATACACAATCTTCATATAAAGCGTACTTGAAATATTTGACAGCAGTTAAAGGCTAAATGTCTGTTTATGGTGTTTGTTGCAGGTTTGGAGTTTGCCTATTCTGCAGCCCCCAAGTCCATGCAGAGTGCCATCATGGGGCTCTTCTTTTTCTTCTCTGGGATTGGCTCCTTCGTTGGTTCTGGCCTTTTGGCTATTGTCTCCCTCAAAGAGATTGGCTGGATGTCATCCCACAAAGACTTTGGTAAGCCAAAAAAATAAATCCTTAAATGTGTTCAAATGAGACGGTACTTGTTATTAGTATTGTTAAGCTTACAGAGATTCATCACATGATTTTCCAGGTTTTCCCCCTTGATTTTTACTGTATATGTTTCCTCTCACCACTCTTAAATGTTTCTTAAATTTTGGCCTCCGGAGGCAACTGCTAAAAGCTTTAAGGACTTAAAGGCACCAGAAATACAAAGATTTCTTCATTTTAGCGTAAACACTACCTCAGATGATAAAATGCTGCTATAGGAATGATTATGTGGAAATACACATTTAGTAGCTGTGTAGTTCAATGATGATAATCTCAGTTTTGTCAATTAGGTAATAAATTCAATTCCAAGTGCAATAATATTAGCCATTATTTGTCGAGCATTATACAGTTAAGGTTAAAATGTATAATCTTTACCTCACTGGTATAGGATTTCACTCAGTTGACTCATACATTGCATTACCATGTGCTTGGTTTAGCTTTAGTTTTTAGAATTATGTTGGTCTCCAAATCCTTCAAGATATTTTCATCAGGAAAAGAAAAAAAAGTGCACACATTTCCAACTGCTATAAAGTTTGCGTAGCTCCTCTGAAGGTGAAACCTGTCATGTCAACACCTCACATCTACTAAGTTTGAATTTGCACTGCTATTGATTCAGGATAGAGTTTTCTTTCCCACGGAGCTCACCTTAAAAGTGTTCATGGTGTGTGCTGATATAAAGTCCTCACGCAGAGCTTGTACAGTTGACGCAGAGAGAGAGGTCAGCACGGCAATCTACTTCTTTTAAAGGTGTTTTGCATTATGAATAAGCTCGTCAGGCTTACCTCAAAGAGCTTGTGTAAATCTATCCAACTGGTAGAATGAATAGCACAGTGATGGCAGCAGATGGATGGGCTCCTTAGCGTGCGGAAGCTCCCAACCCAGATGCACTCCTCCCTGAGCATTTGGTAAATAAGCCAGAACTGTAAATTGTTTATCCACAAACACCTAATATCTCATTAAGTCGGTGTGCCGACAGGTAGAGAATAACTTTTGATGATGTTTGCACTAGAAGATGCTTTGTGCGCTTCATAAATCCATCCTGGGGTCAATTTAGGGAAGTTAAACTAAAGCTAGATTGTCTCTTTGACCCCTTTTTTGCTTTAAAAAACAAGTAATTTAAAAGGTGAGTTGTGGAAATGGAACAAAACATCCTCCTGGCCCTGTTTTTTGTTATTTTTTAAAGGCAAAAAGCTTTGACATTAAGTACAGTCAGGAATCATGGAGTTAGCTTTTGTGGATGTTTTTCACAGTTTGTTGGATGTTAGCAGCTTTTTGCATCTCACGGCTCAGTAGATGGGATGAATTCAACTTATTTCCATGGCTCTGGGCAAAATCCTGTGCTGTAAACAGCATCTTGTGTGAGCTGAGTTATACTGAGTCACAAGGTTCCTGAAGACAGACAGTAACATTAATCACAGGCTGGGGGTCTGATTATACAGCCCTACCCTTCTTAAGTAAAGCTGTCCCTGGAGCAAAACATGGAGACACGACAGTGCCGGCTCGGCATCAAACCGGTGGATGCTTGGCTCTCCTGCAGTGCTGTGGCTCCATTGTCCCCTTTCTCTGAGAAAGCTAATGTTTGATAGCAGTGGAGGTAAAGTGTTCCATAAAAGTCCACTAGGCTTTCCCTTAACAACATTGTTTTCAGGAGAGAGAAACGGTGAAACTTCAGGCTAAAAATCTTCATTTGGTAACGGCAAAGAAAGTGAATTAGGTACCAGTGTCACATAAATGTCTAAAACACCTTCAAACAAGCAGCGCTTCTGCCAGTCAGGATGCAGTTTTTCTTTTTGAAAGTGGACATAAAAACAGCAGTTTGGATTTGCTTTTTATGTCCAATTTCTTTTCACGTGCTTCGAAGAAGCATGTGATATTTTTTCATTTTCTAGAAGAAACAGACGAAACTTTGTTTGAATATTTCCAACTATGAGCCACTGTGGACCAATGACAGTCCCCAGACGCCAGATTCAAACTGCCACGGTTTTACTCAAAACAACAAACCTTACAATCTATCCCGTCAACACACTATGTACAAGGTCATTTAAAACAGAGTTCAATTTAAAGTTCAACATTGCAATAAAAATGAAAAAAAAAGTATTGCCTCTTCAAAGCATGAAAGAAAAAAACTTTAGTTGGACAAAAGCTGGCCAAATATGTGATATTTGTGAGCAGCGAATAGCTACAGGACTAATCAGAGTTTGGAGAAAGAGTTCTATTCCAAAGTAATTTCCTCTCTATGTACTGTATAGTTTAAAATAAACATATTGGAAGGCAGCACTTCTGCTTTGGAGTGTCTGACCATATGTACTATATGTGCATAGACGTGCTGAAAATGTTTCTGTAGTAAATTTGCCACATCTGCCCACCGACTTAAGACATACTGAGTCCTTGTGTTGAAATGACTGATCCCTCACATCCTGCAGCACGTTGTTCACAGCTGCGTCGGGTTGAGTCGTAAGCCATCTTATTCTTTTGTTTCTATAGTTCCAGTATAGCTCCCCTGCACCCATTCCTTTCAAAGAAGGCCCGCAGCTGTTTAAATTTCACAGGCTAAGTCAATCAAATATCAGTCTTTACACAGGCAGGGTTGGGAAGTGTGTGTCTGTGTGTGTGTGTGTGTGGGGGGGGATGGGGGGGGTTTCTGGTCTTTGGAGAATGGCCTCAGCTCTATAATTTGCTTCTCCCTTTTGTTGGAAGTAACTTTCACTCAAAGACGATTTTTGTTAGCGTCTATGGTCACAGGACAGGAAATGGCCTTTCTTTTGGCCAGTTTTCAACTCCTGACTGATGTTTTACCAGATGTCTGGCGTGTGTTCAGACGTTCACCGTAAGCTGACATTCCCACATCCCTTTGGGTCACACTCAGCAAAATGTCAGGGTTTTAATGGAAGGCTTTAATGTCAGATCTGGCGAATTTAACAGAAAATCTTATTCTTCCTTAAAGGGTTGTATGAAAACTTAATTTGGCTTTTAACATGCTCAGTAGAGTGTACACACATATCATGCATTGTTAGCGTTGTGTGCCCATTTTTAACTTCTGCATGAATCATACAGTTTTCCAAGCCTGGACAGAGCTGCAGAAAATAACTGTATTTATAGCTGAAGCAAACAAGCATTGATTCTGGCTCTGATTGGATTCTCAGACAGAGGATGGCACTGAAGGCACTGAAGCATCAAAATGTTGGGTCACTGCACTGAGGGAACAATTGATCCTCTTTCAGACACAAAACTGAAATTGACCACTTTCATCTCAGCTCACATGGTCTACACAACCTCACTCGCAGATAAATGAAAGCATAAAATTATACCTCCGTCATCCAAGGGCTGCCCCCCTCTGTTGGCATATTCCTTATAATTGCAAGCTTGATATTTTTTAACTCTGAGGTTTGAAACAGATGATTTTAGCATCTCCGGATATTTGGAAATCTTTAAACACTCATTAATTCTGTTTGGTTTTCAGTGTTTCCTTTCTTACTTTGAATAGCAGGCAATGATTTATGGGCTTTTTTAAGTATTTTTATAGCACACACTCAATCAGTCTTTTAGGGCTTGAATTGGCCTTCCATATTTTTTAAAGCACTTTGGCTCAATCGGGACGCTGGGGTACAGAGATTTGAAGAAAGAGGTATAGTCTGTTTCATGTATAATGAAGGTCACACGCGACGCCTTGCAAAGCGAAAACCCTGCTCGATTTTCACAGCTGCACCAAAACATGGAGGCTGCCTTCTCCCCTTTGCACCCCTTTCTCTTTCCCTGGGTGCTGGTTGAGAGAGATGTTCTGAAAACTGGAACAAAGGTTGCAATCTAGTCATCTGTCAGAATAATTTTACAGCAGCGGTAAGACTGCACACCAAAGAAATACACGGCAGGATTTCTTACAGGCTTGGTATTGATATTAGGTGTCTTTCCTGGACCAAACCCAGAAAATTGTTTCATATGATGCTGTTAATCCGACTCTTCTGTTCACATCATACATATCATACATATTTCAGATCCTATTTTGTTCAACACTGGATACTGCTAGCAAGTACAGATGTAAATGTCTCCCTGTGAATAATTTCCATGCTTTATTACTTGCGTTTTGTAAGCGATACTGCTTCGTTACCTAAGACTGCAGCAGCGGCACACTTTTGTTTTACTATCTGTCAAAGCAAATTATCGAGTGAAAATACAAGCACGCTCAAACGCACAGTGTCTTGTTCTCCATGAATTATTCAAGGCCTGTTTTGGTTTTAAAAACCCTGGACAGATTAAGATGACAACAAAATTAGTGAGAGCTGCAGCAGAGGTCAAAGTGCACGTCAGGTTTTCCACTTGTCACTCATTTCATTACCGCTCAGGCAGCACTTCAGAGTCAGGAGCTCGCTCTCTGTTCCTCGATCAAAGGTTTTAAAGCTCTGGAGATGGCCCAGTGCACAAAGAATTGACGGAGAATCTCTCCATTTCTAATTATCCACATGAACATGCACATAACAGAGTGGGGCGGGGGAGCATGCTCAATACACTTCCTGACATTATGGAGTGCGTTCTGCTCTGCCAATTGCTACTGATAATGCAAAGCAGTGGGATCAGTTGCTTGAAATGAGCAAATCCTGCTCTTTGATCAAGCCAGCATGCTCTGTTAAGTCATTTACAAGAACACAAAGCTTTCGGTATGCTGTTGCAAAGCTGCTTCTAATGCAGTGAAGTGGATGTTTAATTTAAAAGGTCTGTTTCAATCTGTTGATATCATGTAGCTTAGGTGGACAGATTTATCTGTATCTTTGCGGGGAAAAAAAGAACAAAATCATCCAAATTTCCCCAAATTACCAAAAATTATGTTTCCAAGTTCTATTCATCGAGATGTCATAGTAAAAAAGTTTGTTCGCCACCTAACACATTATTATTTCAATCAGTCCATTTTGAAAAATATTTTTTTCTACACAGAACCCTTTGATTTGGTAATGATGTGTGAGAGGAGGTTAGTGCTCAATTAGGTCTTTTACATGTAATTACAATAAATTGTGTCAAATCATTATGACCTGACCCAGCATAAAATACAGTACATAAAAGTAACAAAGAGATATCTATCTTGCCTTCAGATTAAATGTGATTAATTAAAAAGTTTTTGTAGGTTGTGGTTAGTATCAGATCCATGCAGTGAATAAGTAATGCATCACTGTGGGTCTTTGTCCTGTGACAGCTTTTGGAAACTTCTCTCTACACACAAACACAGTGGATTTGAAATAAAGTATTCAAGATGTGTCTAAAGTGTAAACTCACAGTCGATAACACAGTCATCACAGACCTCCATTAAATAAACTCTTCTAATGAATCACTCCTGTTTTTACTACCATAAAAAGATTGATACAGTTAAAGCATAAGCAGTGGTAAATCAGTCCGCACTAATCTATAAATCAGTATGAGCGATGACTGCAGTTTTGGTCATCTATTGCTGCTTTATATTTAATGAAAGGCTTGTTCCTCAGTTCATTAAGGCACTGCCTTCATCTGAAGGGAGCCACACAGAAACGTTAATAAAGCAGAAGCCTCACATGTGACATGCTTCACATGCACAAAGACCTGGCAGTCTGCTGTTTACTTTGATTTAATAACTTCTTTACACCTCACTGGTCCAAAAAAAAAAAAAAAAGGAAGCAAATAAACAGCCATGCATCTCCACAGGCTTTGGATGGTTTCATTTTAGCTCTGTATTCTGCTATTTATCGGTAAGCTGGTGCCTCAGACTCACTCCCTCTTGGTCTTGTTAGGATCTTGTTTTTCTTTATTTAAATGTAAATTATTCCATGATTGTGCAAAGGTTGTGGACCTTGTGTTTCCTTCAAAGTAAGTTCATAACACATTTAGCTGGTCAAGCCCTGTTTCTTTCTTTATAATGTGAATTGGCATGCTTTTCCTCTGAGTGCCATCCCCCAAATATTCTCATGAGTGATAATTAGGGCTATATACTGGTTTAAATCTAACTCAGTAATCTTTTTATGGTAATAACATTTGTTTTGTGTATTTATGACAAGTGAGCAACCTGTTCCCCTCAGCCTCCTCTGCCTCCACAGGAGCAAAGTAAAGTGTTCTCCTGCGTTCATTTACCAGTTATCTGCAAATTATGCCTCTAGTTGTCACTAAAAAATGTGCATCAAATATGTACGCCGTCACTCATTAAAATAGTCAGAATTGTATATGATACACAAAAAAATAATGTACCTTGCGTTCTGTGATTTCACATAGCTGTGCTCGAGTCAGATAACTTAAATTGAGAATTTCCCTCACAGCCAATTAAAGTCAAACCTGTTTCTTTTTCTAGGCCTCTTTATTCAGTTTGACAGCCTCACACAGAGGAGCTAATAGGAGCTTTCTGTGGAAGACAGAGGATTGCTCCAGGGTTTTACATTTATTAATTTGCAGATAATGTACGATGTAAGCTATAGCTAACTCTGTCCTCTGGCACAGCTGCGCCTTTACATCCCCAGTAGGAGAAAAAGACGTGCTGCACTACAGTAAAACTACAATCTCTCTCTGCATAAGGCAAGCATTCAACAATCATTTCACAGTAAAATGCCTTCATGTCCCTCAAAGTAGTAAAGAGCATCATCTCATGCTGTTGGTTGTAAAGTCAATTGGTCTGCCCCACATGGTCAAGAGGACAAAAGCTGCTCTAACACCAATCCAATTGTCTCTGGTGAAGGCGATTGTATTGTTGTCAGCTTTGCCCTTCATGTAAACCCCCTGGAGAGATGAAAACAGGATTTGTCCTAAGCTTTTCCCTTGAGCTTTGTGGCTGAATGAGGACGACCACTTCACCCAACGGTGCACCAAATGCTAAGACACTTAGCGGCTGAAATCTCCAAACCCAATAGCACAAAATTGGAAGGGAATGTCAACTAATACTTATAACTATTTTTAATTCCTGAATGCCTTACTGGATGACCTTTTCCCAGTTAGTCTCTTGCACGGTCTGTTTTTTCTTCCGTCCCTGTAAACAAATCATATTTCTGTGCCGCAAATCACGGTGGAAGCAGTTCCACATCTGTTTTTTTTTCCTCTCATTTTATCACATTGCTGTCCCATGAGGATACAAACCTTCTTTTAATACCGATGAAAGACCCCCTGATTCGAAACACAGCTGAGTTACTCTCTGAGTTCCTGTTGTTATTGTTGATGCTTCCATCTCACATCTCCAATCCAGCCGAATTGTATCAATGCTGAAGTGTGGGGTCAATTGTCTTCACTTTTCAGAAGGTTTTCAGAGCAGTAAAAAGAGCTATACACTCCCTGCCGAATCCTGAATCCTGGCAGTAATGGGTTTTCCTGCTACTCTCACTTTAAGCCAGCTCTTCATACCTCATGAATGTACTCGGACTTGTCGGACTAGAGATCTTGAGGCCATCCGCCTTTGTCTTCGGTTACATCTAAGATAAAATAAAATAAAAAATTTGCTGTCCCTAAATTACATTTTTGTGACTTTTGTTTTAAACCCGAAATGAAAATGCTTTGTTATTTTCTGAGCTAATGGAATTGCTGTTGCCTGAGCTAACGTCCTTGTGTTCCCTGTTGTAGGTAATATTAATGACTGCTCCCTGCATTACTACTTCTTCCTCCTGGCGGGCATCCAGGGCGTCACCTTGTTGGTGTTCCTCATCGTCTCTGTTAAGTATGACAAGCAGAGGAGCAGAGCAGGAAGTCAGCGGCAGAGACACACCTCCTCGTGACCTCAGCCCACATCCTATTAAACCCCAGCACACCTGCCTTCTCCGGTCCCATCGCTCTGAGCCCAGAGATCCTGTGGACTAGGTACTTACAAATCGGCCTGCAGCAGTGTGGGTCAGCTGTGTTTATCCTTTCTTGACTATACTATTATTTATGGATTTTTTTTAGCTTTTAAATGAAGATTGTTTCTCTTTCTCTATATGATAATGGTTGTGTTTTCTCTTTCTGTTACTGCTGTTGCCTTTTGTTGTCATCATTTGCACTTAACTTTATCTATGGTGCCATAAAATGTGATAGACTGGTATTTTGTAAAGCCTTGAAAGCTCACTTGTTTTTATAGTTTGAATTGATTCTTTTGAACAGACTTGTTGCATCTTAAATGCAACCCTTTTACTTTGAACTCACTCCTTTGAGAATAATCTTTTCTGATGTCAGCATAATTCTTTCATACTGTTTAAATCAATTCTAGACTTATACCTGTGACTTGGGTATTAAAGGTACAGCTGCATTAAATGTCTGCCTTATTTCATTAACCCTATAGTGTGCCTGGAGAACTACACCTTTTGAACATTTTGTATTAGATAATGATTTCGTCTATGTTTCAGATTTCTTTGAAGTATTTACGTTAAAGTTAAAGGTGTATGCTTCTGTTTGAGGAAATTCCAAATGCACACACTTAGATTAAATAAATCCTGTAATCAAATCTAATATTGAGAGAAGAAAATCCCCCTACAATTGCTTTCCACTGCCTGTGATTACAGTGCACTCTGGCAAGCCCCACAAATCCATCCTCTAAGTCAATTTCAAATCCATAGACAGCATTACACACAAATAACATGAACATGAACTTATCATGTTGAAAGTATTACTTATAACACCTAAAGAGCTTTGCAGCTTTTTTAACATTTCTGGTCAACTGCAAAAATTGCCTGGCATGATGATGAACCAATAATGAGAAACTAACCATTGATGCAGCTTTACTGGCACCCAGGAGCACAGCCGTCACACGCTGTTGGCATAGCTGCTTGGATTACGATGAAAAAAATCATCATCAAATCGGCATCAGTATCATCTCCATATTTAGAATTTGTAGCAAAACAAATTGCAATTCTCTCAGTATTTGCTGAGTGTCATCATGGCTTTGCAGCTTTGCCAGACACCAAAAAACAACAGTTTTTTGTATTTATAAGACTATGATGCATTTGTTTTAACTTTATACTGCAGGAGAACTGTGTGTGTGTGCGCGCACGTGGTTCTCAAAATCTCAAATGAAGTGGAGCACATTGTACGAAACATGACTGCAGAAACAAAAAAACTCAGGGTTTTAGGAATGATGTCGCACAGTCAATAGACAGAAACTCTGAAGGAAACTGAGATCTGGTGTCGAAAATGAAGGTAAAAATAACAGCATATAAAAAGTCACCGACTGTATAAAATGTGTGTTACACAGATATTTTAGTTAAGGTTCATCTGAGTGACCAATGCTAATGTCTGTCTCTTGTTTTATTTTGCTCTTTGTCTTTTAAATCATTTAAAAGATTTATTACATTTATTGATGATGATGCAATGGTGTTTTCCAGAAAAGGAGAGAACTGGATTATTGTTTTGTGTTGGCATTTGTGACTATTAAAGTGTATTTCACTGAGAGTTTTTCTTTGTCATTTCGAGCCTACGCCGGATACATTAGAAGCCGCATCTTGTGTTTGAACATAAGAACAAACTGCACAGGACTGCAAACATATTCCCGTACTAATATAAACAAGAATTATCAACAGCGGAAATGAATTTCAACAGGAAAAAGAGTATTTTCCAGCCCTTGGTTTGAAATTCAGACAGCGTCGCAACACTGTTATCCCAAATCAGTGTATGTACTTTGAAAGCCTGCTTTGACGATTGGGGTCATGGTTTGTTGGTTCTAAGGCAAATTCAACTGTGGAGTGTATCAATTATTTATATTACAAAAAAAACATGCCCTTTGGCAAACTGTTAGGAAAAAGATTGTTAATACAGAGGTGTAAAGCTTCATTTTGCATTCCCATTTGGGAGAAGCAGCATATTTCTTCTTGGTTTCATCAGACACAGATTGAAATCGGCATGATTACATATTTTACTTTATTATTTTTTTATGTTAAGGCCTTCTAGCTATGAAGTTCACAGACAGCCGTTTCCTGTTAAATTTGGTCGGAGAGCCACACGCTGCCCGTGGCTGGGCAGGCAGCTTGATGTTTGAAACTAAACACAATACCTCCAGGTTATAATTCTTGTGTGGCAGCTTGCTCCTTATATTGAGAGGATTTCCTGACACTTTGAAGTGGTTACAGGCAGAATTGCAAGGCAATGACAATGAGATCTACAGTTTTGGCACTGGCCTTCCCATATTGATTTATGGGACAGAATTTAAGCAAACATTTCCAAGGAGAACCCATCTTCTGTTCACATTCTAACCCTGCCTTTTTTGTTGTTTGTTTTGTTTCTTTTTGGAGCATGCTTTGTTTGGCAAAGTGATGAATATAGTAAAAGTTTTCATTGGAGACATTTTGATTCTAGTTTTGAAAGTCAATAAAAAAGGGAAAAAAAATTAACAAGTCAAAATCAGATAATGTCTTTATGAAGAACAATAATCTCCTGTTATTAGGAACTACCGTACACGAGTCTCAGTAACAATCAATGAATCTACAGGTGAATTAAGTGATGTGATCTAATCATCACAAAAATATGAAGGGGCGATTCATCAGTGTCCGATCTGAACCACATTTACTGATGTGTATCGTCAACAAATGAGATTTCTGATTATTTCTTTCCCACTGCCATTCCACAGTCATACAGGTTGAGTGTAAATAATGGATACTGAACACATTTTTACGTTCCCCAGCAGATGTCACTAAACAAAGAGCACCTCACACCAAAAACATGTTCCATACGTTGTCAAAAAATGCAATAGGCCTGCAAAGCTGGATTCTGGTGCCTTCGTCTCCATATTGCTTTAATAAGTTTACCAGGCAGCATGACAACCAAGCGTCACCATCTTTTGGTTCATCATGAACTCCTGATGTACTTTATTTGTTGTTAAGTTGCTTTTAATTGCGTTAAGGTCTCAGCTGTATAATGAACAGATGGCAGATGCTCTCACATACGTTGCCCCAGTAATTGGAGGATTACAAGGTATCATTGCATATTAATTAAGATAAGCTAATGAAGACATAACGTTTAAGAAAGCGAGCAGGCTGACAAATCGGCTATCCACAAGAACTAATTGTCCCATAATACATTGGCCCATTAGGTTATCAGAGCTGTCTTTGTTAAGAGATTCTAAATCATACAAAAGACAAGTAGTTTAACAAAGGCGGATATCTTTCCCACCTTCTACTCCCTGCAGGGGATATTAGCCGGTGAAATTGTAACACATGTACAGCCTCCCACTATAGCCTTCTCCAGAAATGTGTTCCTGTCATATGGAAGACTATTTTCAACAGGACTCAGCACAGCAGCCGGTTAAGGATGTTGGTTTAGACTGATCATCTGTGAAATAAGCAACCACAAACTGCTTTAACGGCACACATCCATCTGGATTTAGAGTATCCACCTCAATTATTACATGCTTTCTATGGTTTAGAGAGCATCTTATGTGTTCTGAATGAAGTTTGACTCCCATAAACCAGTACAAGTATCAAGATAAATCTTTCCCAGCCACATTGTATAATGCCATTCCTGTCAGGTGTATCTCAGTAGATCTCTGACCTTTTGTTGTTTTTCTGGATGGAAAAAAAATAAGCTTGTTCCAGAATGCTGCCTGATATGTTTGTCCCCCGTGCATCGTGCACTACTTCTCCAGGGCCAATATATCTTAATGGCATGGTTACTTTGTCAAGTAAAGCTACTCAAGGTCTAATCTGAGTACAGCAGTTAAGGACCTTTGGGGTTTTGAATCATTATTTCGTTTCAGTTTATGTTGACATGTGTTTGTGCAGTTATATTAACCAGAAACTGGGGGGGGGAAACAGAGAGAAAGCAAGTAAATAAAAAAAAGTTAAAGAGGAATTAAAACACTATTGCACAAACATTCTTATCGCGGGTTTTAGTTGCACCAGAATAGACTGTCAAGAGACGGAATAAACTGTCAGGTTGATTCTGGTTTATTCAGTTTTTTTTCAGCCTTTAACTGTTACTATGACAGTTTCAAACCAACACTTCTTTTTTTTAAGAATGAAATAAATTGCATATTTCCACCGCTTCTTTGCGCTACATCTCTGGGTTACGTCAGATATTCAGAGAGGTGGCATTTGGATGTGTGAATATTTGTCTTTGACGTCCAGCTGTGGTGCCCTACTCAGGTGGGAAATTGTGTTTACCATACACTTACTTAGCACAAGGGTTTATCACAAAAGTGTGTACTTTGGTCTCAGCATCTCCATCTACAAGAATTGGGAGGCCCAGAGTGCTGAGCTGACCTTGTCAGTTGTTGCCTGTTTGCCTCTCCAAAAACAGCCTTTGTGTGCATTTAGTTGTTCTGAAACTACTGTGGACTGATTTCAAAACAGATTTGAGGAGGCAACATAAATCACGCAGCGAATAATTATTTACAAATTGCAAATACAGGCCTGGCACATTAGGACCACAGGGAGTAAAGCCAACCATTAGTAAGAGTTTCTTGGTCTCACATCATCAGTTTAATTAAAAATCCATTTAAGATGAAGGCCTGGGGAGAGTTTTTTTTCTTTCCCCTTTCAAGAAAGTCCAGACTTCAAGGCCAACAAAGCTGGGTCTTCAGTTACCATTCCACCAGAATGGAAGTGAATGCAGTCATTAATACCCCCCGTGCCACATCCCAGCAAGTAGAAGCATATCTAAAAGTGGGCCCTGGGGGGTGGGAATTGTGGGTCTGTAATGGGTTGTGCTGCTCTGTTCAGACCTGAGGAGAATGAAGGTAATGTTGATAGTCATTGAGTAACAGAGGTGTTTTAATTATGTAACCCCCCCCCCCCATCAATTATTCCTAAGAGGATGGCAGTTAAGTCACTCCCAAACCTACAAAAAAGTCAAAAGTCCAGAACAGAGCTTATATTTTCTGACCCCCACGCACTGACGGAGCAGAGATGATGAAAAGAGAAAATTCAGACTGAAACAGAGCATCTTTATATGTGTCCACACAGAGAAAAATAACAAACTGATTTTTCTTTTCATTTACTCTGGGCAATAATAGTGAGAATCTTCCTCATAAATGGCAGAGTGGAACTTCCTGATAAATCTACTGAGATTGGAAACAGCTATGGTTTAATGTGGGATTTCTTTTAGCGTCATATTGAGTTTAGGTGTTTTTATTAAACCTTTTTGGAAAAATGCACTGAGAAAAAGTGGTCAACCAGAGGACTAGAAAGCTATATCGCCATCAGTGTTTTTCATGCTGTGTCGCTAATAGCCAATTTAAGACACAGATTTCTGTATACAGTATATTTAAATCCTTTCACTTTTACTAATCTTAATTTATCTGCCAACCATGGAAGAACTTAACCTCAGTAATATAATTCTTCATTTTACACTTTTGTATGCACCAGTTTAGCTATTCACCCCAAATCTAGTTTCTAAGCTATCCTAAGCAATTTGGTTGGTGCCCAATCTTTCTTATTTATATATGAAAGTGTAGTATTATTATTGTCCTTTCAATACAGTGACGTCTCTCATTAGGAATCTTTGAGATAATTTTGCAGTAGGAATGAATCAACACGCCTTTGCATTTCCTGCCGAAAATTAAGAAAACTTTCCATCAGGTGCCTTGCTCTGAGTTAATGTGAATGTCACCTCCAAATGCACAAAGTTTTCTTACCTATTTGCTGATGTATACGTCACTACTTCGACTTTTTTCTGTTTTGCTGATTAATAATCTGATATATGCATAAACATGTAATGAGAACATTTTTCAGCTTCATGGAAGTAACACACACTCACAGACACACACAGTCAAGAAGAACAACTCTAAACCAGCCCCACAGGGAGACTGATAATGCTCACTGAGCAAAAGACAATTTCTCAGCTGAGTGCCTTTGTTTAGGACATTCTAAAAGTTGATTACTATTTGTGCAATTATCTGAATCATGAAAGATCTGTTTCCAAAAGGAAAACATCCCCCACCTGGCTGGAAATGATGCTTTTATCAGTGCCCACACTATGAAATGGAAGGCAAAGGACTTTCCAGCATGTCAATGATCTGTGCCTTTACTTCTCACTGTAGGACAAAGATCAACAAGACATTGAGTTTTTTTTTCATTTTGGGACACAGTAAAGCCAACATATTCTAGCAAATTAGGCCAACGGCTCCTTCAGCTCCTGTTCTGTCTGTAGATCGTGTACCCAAAGAAAAAAAGGGATGTTCAAACATTTTGAGAGTTTTTCACAAAATACTTACTGTACTAAATTTGAATGTACAAGTAGTTCCTCGTCCCTTGCAGTTAAGATAAAGAGTGTTCAAGTGCTGATGGAAACAACAGAATCTGATACGAACTTTTGACATTATTGTGTATTACTTCAATGTTATGAAAATACAATATACAGAGCAACAATACAATGCTTTGGAGACTGTTCAGTATATACATAACAGGTTTTCTGCCTTCATATGAGCATGAAAATGAACCGGAAACTTGTGCCTTTTTTTCCCCCCACAACATGCAAAAAGTTCTGCTTTGCTTATTTTGGCCTTTCCAGAACTCCTCCACAGGTAAAAATTACAACCCAACATTGATCAAATCTCCCAAAGCTGTTTAATTTGCACACACATTATTGTGAACATCTATCTAGCTGTGTTGTTTTTTTCATGTAAAAATCCGTCGTGTGAATGTCAGTCATAGGATCATTACTTAATTCTAAACCCTGTAATAATAAAATGATAAAATGTAATCATCCGATAAAACAAATGGAAAAGGAGCCGCCTCGTCTTGTCATATTTTTTGTTAATGGTTCATCATCAGTTATTCATGGAGTCATGACAGTTCTCCTAAATCTAATGAGCCTTTGGCAGTTTGAGGTGACTCTGTTAAATTCCCTCTTCCGAGGTCTGTAGAGACCCATTTTCGTCTGGAAGGCAAAAGGGTGAGTTTGTAACTAATGCTCTCAGTGCTCTATGCCAGCTCTTTCAAAGCACTGTCATTTAATCTTTCCATGTAATTACGCAACTCACTGGAGTCTCCCAGCTGCACGTCTTGGCAAACCCACTGAATGTCCTGGCTATGGCTTCCTGTCAGTGTGTTGACAGTGGGGTAGCTATTGTCCGAAGGAATGGTGGTGAAAGTGGTGAACTTGACCCTTTTTCTCTTGGTGGTAGGGGAGTCTCCTTTGCTGTCCTTTGCTATGCAGCCTGTGTCCGGGGCTCTGTGCACCTGGCTCTGTACGTTCTTCTGGGCCGAGCCCCCGTTCAGCAGGTGGCTGCCCTCCTCGAGCCCACTGCTCGAGTCTATCATGGAGGTCTGCTCCTCCAGCTGAGGGGAAAGGCTGATTTGGCTCTCCAGCAGCTCCGCCTCGTTCCCGAGCCACACCCAGTCGTGGGCGTGGTTCATGTTCTCCTGGCCCTCGACGGAGAGCTCCTTGTGGCGGTATTTGAGCGTGTAGGAAATGCAGTTGATGAGAAACACCAGGATGGCCAGGCAGAAGACCCCCAGCAGGGCGTACATGCCGATCTCTAAATCTGTGAGTCCGCGGGCGGTCTGAACCAGGTCGTCGTCCATGTTGCGGCCATGGGGCAGGTCCACTTGTGCGGGGAAGTCCGCGAAGTCAATCGGTATGTTTCGGCTGCCGTCGTCTGAAAACTTACCCCCATTGGGTCTGCGTATTATCGCACTCCTCGTAGTGGTCGCTCTCTGTAGCACCCCATCCTCTATGTCAGAGATGGAGCTGCCGTAGTAGTGAGTGTCAGTGCCAGTTCTGTCCTGAGAGGACGAGAACCTGCCCCTGCTCTCCACCTCATCTCCGTCCAGGCCATAGTCGCTGTTCCCTCCCTTTGAACTGTCACCGTGGCCAAACTTCACCCTGATGTTGCAGTTCCCCGCCGCTAGGACGCTGCGGCGCTTGAACTTTTGACAAACTTCACAAACGGTCATCTCCACCCTGACCAGCAGACCTTGACCCTCCGCCTCTGTCACAATGACAGGCCATTTCCACGAGGGGTCCTGCTTCACCGTCACCACCTCCTCGTCCAGGGAGGTGGCTGTCAGGACAAAGAAGTCGGGATGGTACAGGTCCAGTGGAGCCACGGAGCCGTCGCTGAACTGAAGCCATGCGCTGATCAAGGCCTCCTGTTGAGGGAGGACAGGGAAAAAAATATTACTGACACATGCTGGACGCATTACACATTGCATTGTGGTATAAAGAATGGAATTCTATAAGCTTTAACACCGTAACCAGCTTTATTTCATAGAAACAAACCACAGCTCATACTTTTCAACATGTTTGCACGGCCTCATGCCAAGTCAGACCTTTTTACAGATGTATCAACTTTCATTTTTAGCTTGTTTGCACTGGCTTTTTATTCTCAGCAGAGTAGTGAGTTGTGTTGGTTTGAATTGAACGTTCTAATTTACAATTCTGAGGACATGGGACGTGTGCTTGAAGTTTTTACTTCTGAGATTTAATATTTCAGACATGAAAAATCTTACTAGGGAGTCTGGGTCAACTAACATGTTGGTTATTCTCTATAAATAAAAAAAGACAAGTTAAAAGAGAGGGAGAAGATCAAGTAGTAACATCAAGCATGTTACTTTCATTTAGGATTTACCAAATACTGACTCTTAAAGCTGTGATCTAGTGAAATTTCACATTTCGCCTTTTGACGTTGCTAGAGGACAAATCCCCAAAGGGACAGCAGAAGCTTCCCCCTGTGATCTGTAAATGCTCCAAAATGACTCCCACCGGACGAATCACACTGCAGCACTGTCGTCTTATCTACACGCTGCACTTAAAGATTTGGTAGATAAATGCCCATTCTATCCCTCCTCAATTAAAAAGAAAAGATGGAAGGGGAATGGAAAGGAGCATTTCAGAAAATTCATGAGAGGACTTGATGGGGATCAAATAAACTACAATTAAAGTGGCCTCAGCAAATTAGAAAGAGAAAAAAAATTGCTTTTGAAAAGCCAAGTTTCGAGAGGAAGTCGCATTTTTATACAGCAGCTGTAATTTTGCACTTGCATGCTCTGAGATTAAGGTTCCACTTCTATTTGCTGCCCATCGAAAAGCATTCTGTCACACTCTGACTTGGAGTTAAGAACGTTAGGGATCACGAGGAACCAACAAGCACATGTGTACAGAAGCAGGTGCCCCCTCATGCTTTCTTTGCTTGTAAAATCAATCATCTTCATGTCGCCTGAAGATATTTGTGGTTTGTTTGGACCGCATAGCATCAAAGGCCCCACAATGCAAAGTTTTTTCATCAGCAGTAGAGAATAAGTGTTAAAAATCAACATTGAATTAAGTGAAAAATAACGATTTAATGATGAGAGAGAAACAAATAAGCACCTTTCTCTCTGTCAGTTATATCCTCCTAAAGAAGTGCTGTAGGTTCTGCTTTTTATTCATTGGTCTCTGACAAAACCATCAGGCCTTTCTTAAAGAAGATTTAGCATTTAAAATGAACTATTTTGTTAATTTACAATCTTTAATATTGTACGAAGATTATTCTCATCACAAGGTAACCTCCCCAATCTCCCCAATCTCCAATCAGCCTAACATGCAGGTTTTTGGACTGTGGGAGGAAGCCGGAGAACCCGGAGAGAACCCACGCAGACACAGGGAGAACATGCAAACTCCACCCAGAAGGGCCCTGGTTCCCCCGGGATTCGAACCCAGAACCCTCTTGCTGGGAGGCGACAGTGCTAACCACCACACCACCGTGCCGCCTCTCGCCCGTTGACCACTGGGATAGGCTCCAGTTCCCCCGCGACCCCATGAGGGAATAAGCGGTATTGATAATGGATGGATGGATGGACAAGGTAACCTGCTACATATTTCGTAGCTGGTAGCAAGTTTTTTTAAATAAATGATCAAAAAACATATAAAAATTCTTAGTTTAATTTCCTGCCTTCTTAAGTTATATGAAGATAATGAGAATCAAAATATTTCCTTTTTTAAAGAGTGAGTTTTGTTTAAAAAACACATCTGATATTAATGTCCATTTAATACCAGCAAGCATCAAATGTTTGAAATATTTTGCTGAAAAAATTTAGTTATTTGTGATAAAAAGTGAATATATTATGTCTTCTGAAGAGACCTGACCTGTTTGGTGCTTTGCAGGACTTCTTGTGTGGTTGTAGTTGCCATGATGGCTCTGTTGCTGCCCGGACTTAACTGCATGCTCATGGAAAGACCGGTCACCAGTTGGACCCCCAGCTCTGTGATGGTCACTTTGTCATCCACCACAGTGACCGTTTTCTCTGCCAGGATTGAGTCTGACAATGGTGACAACACCTAGAAAATGTTTAAAAAAAAGACAAATAAAAATTATATAGATACATACATTAATTGCCATAAAATAAATGTTGAAAGATAAAAAGTCTCAGACACAGATGAACGGACCAAGAGTGAACCACATGTAGTCTGAAAAATCAATCAACATAAAATCCAGACAGAAATATAACCCCACCTGTCATACTACTGACTGATGAGTCATTTCTGGAACAGACGATTGCTAAATAATTTACTTTAATTCATATTTTTCCAACAAACATGTCGCAGACATGAAAAGAGAGGATCAATACAAGTTTCAGGTGATTTGGAAATTTGTCTTTCCGAGTGTTTCATGTAAAATAAAAGGAACAGGTACTCCTCTGCTGTATGCAAAACAATACAGGAAACCCGCTTCTTTAAATTCAATCTCTTCTTTCAGGCTGGGCACATCAAACACTACCTCAACTTGACTGGCCTCCTGAAGGTAAAAATCCATTCTCTTTGATTAATACTGGCAACCCAAAGAGAGGAAAAGCACAGTTTAGCCCAACAACACCAGCGGAGAGCCTAACTATGGCAAATACTGCGGGAGCAGTGTTGCTCCACATCTGCATGCGAATGCTTTTAAGCGTCTCCTCGTGCATCAGTCGACATGACTGTGACAAGTAGTCACAGCTGTCAGACTCGGCACTCGTCATGCTTTCTGGTTTGCGCTTGTTTTTGGAGCGCGTGAGGGGGTGTGTGAAGGTGAACACCCATCTGCGCGCGGCTGGAGCCTTCAAGGCCCGATGGAAGATACACACAGCGCTCACGGATTTTATTAGGAGGCCGAGAGTCATCCCGTCAGCGTGAACGCTCTGAAATCAAAGACGGGGAGAGCCACTCACTGCTGAGAGCCTGAGGCACAGGTGTGACACACCAGTGAGCACCTGTCTGCTCCGGAATAAAGGAGATGGTAGGCAAATACAGCACGATCAAAGGTAGCTGTATTTGGAACAATCGGGATTTTCACCTTCGATCGCTTCAGGTTATTGGGATGGAACATCCATCCATCCTTTTTCTGAACCGCTTATTCCCAAAATTGGGTTGCGGGGGCACTGGAGCCTATCCCAGTATTCAATGGGCAAAAGACAGGGTACACCTTGGAGAGTCTGCCAGTCTATTGCAGTGTGATGGAACAGTGATTGCATATTCACAGTCAAAATAAGAAAAACAAAAACACTAAAAAAGTATACATTTCTTATTCTATCTAATCCTATAGACAAATGGGGTAATTAGCAGGTTAATGTTCTTCTCTCTCTTACAATTTACAATTCTTTTTTTCATTAACAACTCTTTATTTATCAAAAGTTCTGCATTTTTTATTGAAGTAATGCTCCAAATGAATCCTCTTGCATACCTGGATAGACGTCATCCCCGTGTCCAGTCCAACCAGAGTCTTCCTGTTTAGAAGCTTTGCAATGTGGGGATTTTCTACCTTCAGGAAGTCCCACACAAGCTCTGTGATGTCCACCTGCCAGTCAGTGCCCAGCAGGAAACTTGTCTGGCCTCGTGAATCAGCTGCCTCTGCTACAAAATGGGTCAGAACCTTGACCATGGCATGCTGGTACTGCAGGGTGCAGATCCGCCCTCGTCTGTCTTCATCATCTTCATCCTCACTGTCTCGTGTGGACCTGAGAGGAGAGACAGAAATGGATACTGAAGGTTAATGCTGGTTCATATGCGAGTTCAGCTTTAGTTTATGTCAAATATTGGACTGCTTCACTAAACAGCATGTCACATCTTAAACCTGATATTAGCAATGCATCTGGAAGTGTTCCTGAACTAGTACGGTCATCTCTATGACTGAATCCCTTCTAATGTGAGAAGCAAACATGACTATTCAGTCATTCATGACATGAATGAGTCATGAATTTTACGTGAATTTGATCGAACAAAAGAATCTTAGCAAACTAAGCTACGGCAAGGCACATGTTATTTTGCCCTCAGAACAGATTGGTATTTGCATGTCAACAAACATGAGCTGTTCACCTTCTTAACCCACTTATTTCAATCCGACGAGTAGGGTTGCTTCAGTCTGTCCCAGCTGCCACTGGGCAAGAAGCAGTACACAGCCCGAACAGGCCACCAGTCTATTGCAAGACTGAGCGCTTGATCAATATATATACGTGTCAAATTTATAGTTTAAGAAATAAATAAAGAAAAAAAGTGCCCTTGACCGCTATATTCTGTGGAAGGGAGAAGCAGTCAATTTCTGCACTGCTGGGTTGCTCATGCTATTTTTAGCAGCATTTTATCTTTAAGTGATCTCAGTCGAACACACACAGATTGATGTAACTCATACAGGAATGTTTACTCGACAAGGATCAAGTTATGATGAAATGCCGCTGATCAAACCAGTAAGAAACGATCAATCCGGTGAGTGGCTACCATTTTTCTTCTCAGCGTCTCTCCCTCTCCATTTCAGAGCACCCGCTCTGAATTGTAAATGTGCTTACACCTCCTAACTGCTTTATTTAATAGCCTTTCTGATTGCTCAGTTGCTAGCAAATCTAATTTTATTACTTTAAGCAACAAATCAGCCAAGAGAAGCTCAACTCTTTCTCACCAGGAAAATGCCTTGGTTTTGACAAACTAGGTGGAAATGGTTGCAGTATAATTAGATTTTGCCTACAACTGCCTTTCTTTCTTTTGCTTCAACAAACACCTTTAGAAAAACAGCAGATAAAGCAACCCAAGTTTGGGGAAAGCAGCACTTGAATTGTTGATCTGGGAGAATAAATGCTTTTACAGCTCTTCAGTCCTCCACCAAGGCACAGTTGGGTAACTTGCAATGAAAAAAAGACCCCTTTGTCAACACAACTATAAATCATACACTCGTACTGCAAATTAGACCTACATCCACCTTTTTCTCTAATAATTGTCACGCATTCTCTTCTCTCTTCCTTTCATACAAACGTACAGATGAGAAAAGGTTGTAACAGCAGTACAGGGGAGAAGAAAAGGAATTAATCTCTTTAAACTGTTTTTCTTGTGATTATCCGCTCTGCTTGTCTCTTTCTGTCTGATTCCCCTGAGAAATCTGACTGCCTGCTAAGCCACGGGAATGAAGATGTTAGCTGCAAGCTCCAGAGAAAAGTCACGAGTGCAGAGAGATTTGAAGTTAAGAGCTTAAAAGCTTTGCTGGCAGGACTGATATCACATGTAACTGAATGAAAACCATTAACCAAAAGAGAGGATGGATTTTGATGTGAATATTGTAACACTAACAAAAACGTCTATATTCAGGATTTGTGGCATCGGTTTCAGCAATCCAGCTGAGTGTCAGCATCACCTGTTGGAACACTGTGTTTTAAAAGAAACTTATGAAAATAACAATTGGATCTTAACTGTATTGTTCAGAACAAACACAAATCACGTGGGATTGTTTTTTTAGCTGTGGTTTTTACTGCAATAAAACTTCTGTCTTTTTTACAATTTACACTCTGGGTATTGTTTTGTCTAATTTCATAAACCTGTAAATATTCTGCAGATCTTCTTGAGACAATAAACAAACAACCCACCAACTGGCATCGGATTTAGACCGGAAAAGTGTCTAAGCCCGATTGGTTCATAAAAGCATGAGACCAAATCCAAATCAATGAACTTTGTAGAGAATGAAAAACAGATAGAACAAACAAGGTCTTCCTCATGTGGAGGATTGGATTACTGCTGACTAGAAGCTGACAGAAAGGAAGGCTGGTAATTCCAAAGTTAAGATGGAAAATCTACTCTGGCATGCCGTCATTTATGTGTGTCATGAATAGAGTAGAACTAGAACCCATGAGAAGGGGAGTGAACAACACAGATTGGTTTGATCACTGTCTTTATCAAAGAAGGATCTGACATTAGACTCTTCAATACTGTTAATAATATATTTCAGCTGATGCTCTCTAAAAAATTTGACACATTTGTTCTGTCTGTGAAGTACTTGGTAGATGATGAATTATGGGAGGCCAGCTCTTGGTGCAATAAATTAAAACTACCTGCAAATGATTTCAACCACGGTCTTATTGTTCCGCTAGCATTTTCTCAAATTGTCCTTTTGAATGATTTTGTGTGTTTTCGAATGTAAAACGATCGGGCCACTTTCCACACAAAGCGAATTAAATGGAAAATTGGACTGAAATTAATGTATTGGCATGATGACTGCATCCAGATTGATGAAAAAGATATGAAAGGGTACAGACATAGGAATGGATATTCGTTATTTTTTTCTGGATTTAACGGTAAACAAGCTCAGAGTGACTTCTAACCATTTCAGTCCCAGCATAACTCTGATATGCCCGCGTTTGTGCTTCCATCTGAATACAATCTAAGGTTAATCTCATAAATAAGTCACACTCAGGGTTCAGAACAACCTGCTACACAAGGCAATATATATTTTTTGTGCTTCATTATCTTTCCAGCACAGTTCTGCCTTCAGAGGAGGCGTTGCATATTTCTGTGTGTGGTGCTTATTTTTGTTGCATCCCGTTGAGTTTGCGCTGCATTAGCTCTGCATTTTATTTTCTGCTACAACGACAGAGGTCGTTTGGACAGAAATAGGCATTGTTGTTTCTATATATAAGGACACCGTTTATCTGACAGTGACTGATTGCACGTCTTTCTTTTTTTTATTCATTTTATTTATTTATTTTTCTGCCATATTAATCTTGAGAAGTTTTCAATTCAACTGTTTACAACAAAAAAGGGAACACTCGGTGACAGCAACAGGATGAAAAAACCAGTCAAATCTGAATAATTAAGATGACTGCGGGAAAATCTTTCAAACGCATCATAAAGAGAAGGAAAAGATGCTCAATATAGATATCCGGAGTGAAACATTAAAGGGACCGCCGCTTAGCCTTCATTTTGGTTTACTGTCTGAAGGCTTATCTTTTCCTTGTTTTGACAGGGCTCAGAGAGGGAACAGGAAAGCTATACAAGCAGTGTCAGTCAAAAAACTGCGAGGTGAGGTGTGCCTCTGCGGCCATCCCACTAACACCGCTGATGTCTCTTTATTTTCCTTTTCTCCCTCTCCTCCCTTCTGCTTCTCCTCCCTTATGAGGCCACAAGTCTCTAGTCCTGCAGATAGAGGACGGCTAAGCCACTTGTTACTGTCACTCACTGGTTTTGTTCCCTGTTTGTTTATGGACGGTGGACCCTTGCCCATTCTCACCCGTCGGCATACAGCTACTTTGCAGGGTCATGCCTATTATCCCCTGATAAACAAAGATGGGTGTGGGACAGGGATAAACAAAGCTTTCCGAATCTGTCGGCTGGCTCCGACAATGAAACCCTGGCCTGACTTTTTCCCCACTGATAACGGGCGCGCGCAGAGACACTCGACAAGCCATGACATGGCTGAGCGCTGTACCTCTGTCACTCAGAGAAAGAGGAGAGCATGGATAATTAGAAAAGACACACTGGTGTGTGGGAGGACTCCGAGTCCAAACTTCAACATCTTTCCAGATGTAATTACTGCAGGTGGGCTGATAGCTGTTCCATCAATTGAGGGATTTCAACAGTTGCGGAGAAGCACTGCACATCAGAGTTGGCAGAGGTGCTGCTGGTGATGAGGCCTCAGGGGAGAGTTTCGACCTGGAGACAGCTCTAATAATGTGCTGTCCCACTGACAACTAAGACGCCCAATGGCAGGCCACCTTGAGCTAGTGATAATGACAAGCTGTATTGCACAAGTCAGCCAAGTCAGATGGAATTTGGAGTGGTGCTCAGTCACACAGGTGTCATTATTTCATTTTTAACAGGGTTGAAATTAAAACACAGATTCTCTCCATTAAACCAATCTGTCACATTACGGCAACTGGTCAAAGACCCCTGGTTTTAAGCATTTATTGGAAGCCAAGGAAAAAACATGGAAAGCACAAAAAATGTTCGTTCAATTATTCATCGTCCAAAGGGGCTGCAGCCTGTGCCGGGGTGAGAAGCAGGATACACCCCGGACAGAAGGTCAGTCCATGACAGATCCGACAAAGACAAACAACCATGCACACACAAACCAAGTCCTATGGTAATGTTAACATAAAAACACCCCAACAGCCATATCTTGAAGCTGTGAAAGCTGGAGAGCATCAACGCATGCAAACGCCACAATGAGGGAGGCCCAGCAGGAGCCTGTTGTTGTGATAGAACAGCACTGACCACCACAAGACCCCAAATCATATATCATTCTTTACTTTTTTTTTTCGACAAAAAAAAAAAAAAAGTCCAAAACATTTAACCTGGAGATGAGCGTGTTCGTTTACCTCTGGCCCGTGGCCGCGGTGGGTACCCTCCACCCTTTGATCTGGCTTAGCTCCGTGTCTGACACCTCAATCTGGAGGGGGAGACGAGGGATCCACACACTCAGCTCCAGCTGAGCACTGAGGTATCCGTAAGTGAAATTCACCATCATCTTTACCTTTCCCTTCATCTCCTTGCCATTGACAAAAACGTAGTCGCATCTATCAGACACCTGTGTGGGAGGAGAAGGGCGGAATTAGGTGGACAGTGTTTATGGGGGGGACCTCTAATGGCAGCTGTAGCAGATAACTACAGACACACACACACGGCATAGCGCACGCAGAGCATGTCCACTGCATACAGATGTTGCCCTTTGAGTTGATTACAGGGCTTTACGCTTTTGAGCTCTTCACTGCTTTACAGTGGCATTCCTCTAACAACTCTGAACAAGATGAAAGGTCCTCTGCAGCATAAGCTCAACACTCAGGAAAATAGGAAGGAGGGCAGCAATGACTTCTTTGAACCTGGGGAGACAGGTTCTGGTGTGTTAGTTTATCATTATTCAGCCCGCAGCTAAAGGAATAATCGACAGATGGAAGACCAGACAGAGGGGATCAGTTTTCTCAGGATAAAATGACCAAACTGAAAGCCATCTGTTATTCAAATGGCTTTACAAAAAGAATGAGTGAGGCAATTATGTGCTGTGGAGGGACACGGTTTTTGTGTTTCTTGGGTTTTTTGGTTCTTTTAGTCATTTTGCCCCATTAGACACAACACAAGACAAGACAAAGATAAAAGTCTGAAGGAATAGTGAACATGACTAATGAATAGATGCACTTTGTGACACAGAGGTAATTAACAATCACTTAAATAGAGATGTAGGTTTTTATTTTTCTTGACACTTTATCAGTCGTATCGATCCCACCACACACTGCACACCACACATAATTAGACACTCTGCAGGAATATATTTTTTTCACATCCAGGTTATTTCTTCCCCGTGAGATAAAACCAGAAACAGTCATTTATCTTAAGGCTGTGGCAAGATATCCTTAGTGACCAGAAAAAGAAAAAAAATGCATGCGTGACAGATTTTGTCCACGCTTTGTGTGAGCTGTCTGCACGGCATTTCTGGCAGCAGAATTTCTGTGCTGCTGTGCAAAACAAATTTTGCCTGTTCAAGACGCAGACTGTTTAGGGTATCTGCAGCATTTATGTATACGTATGGACCTGGGCAGTGCCATTTAATGAATCTGTGGTTAGCAGCATATATCTCAGAATTTGTATATGTGCTGTTTTATTGTGGATACATCTACAGGACCAAACCCTCTGTCTTTTGTAAATGTGTCTATATATAATAAACAGCATACTCTTCCTTTATATTAGTGCCTTTAATGTCAGACTCAAACAACTAAAGACATTTAGTTGTTCCCTTTATGTGAAATGTTGATTACCGATTGATAACTTGATGAGTTCACATTGTCTGGTCTGAGCTGCATTATTTGCGTTACATTAAAGTTTTAAACACATACCTACACCTTCCCAAAAATGGCATCTGGAAGCATGCAGATGCTTTATTTTACACACCCATAGTTAATAAATGGTGTAGTACCTCATGCCCTTGTGTTGCCCAACAGTGTAGTGTAAAAAAAAGTGAGCATTCCCAGAATGGTAGCATCTATCCCCTGGCTCATGGAACAAATCTGACCCTGACAGGACTCCCGATGCAAGAGTGTTTGAACTGATACAGATATCAGAGGAGTCCCTGCTACTTATCAGGCCTGATTGTTGAGTTCTCTCTCTCTCTTACTGGGGCAGTAGGGCCTTTGACATCCTCCTCATCTCTGACTTCTCTCAGTTGGGGATTTGCAGCCAATCTGAGCAGGCAAAGCAGCAGCGGGCTGTAGCGGCCTGACAGCACTCCTCGTGACGCTCGTTGACCACGGAGTGCGGTAATGTGAGTGTGTGTCACTGTGCAACGTTAACCCTTTTTTCTCACATACACTTTGAAATATTAATAAAGTTTACCTTTGTAAACACAGCTGATTTCAACATGACAGGGAAATCAATTAACCGCAGCCAGTTAATTGATCTGATTGTTATTATTTGCCAGCCTATAACTTGACATCAATATTTCAACATAGAATGTGTATCTAAATCTGCAGCCCTTTTCAAACCATGGTGTTCTCACTGCCTGTATGTTGATCCGGTCTGAGAGTTGGGACTATTCCTGGGAATTGCACTCTTTGTCAGTCTGCCTCACAAAGTGCCTTGAAAGTCCAGGAGGAACCACTGCCACATTAATCATACACATTAGGCAGCTAACGGGATAATACTTACAGAGAACATTAAGGCTGTCTCTGGATGTAGCCCAGGAAATTAACAGCTCGTAAGACAGATACAATCCACAGCAGATATGAGTGTTGGGACTTGGGAGCATGAAGGTGATGTGAGTCCATCTCTGGCCTGTATACAGCGTTGGCTTGACGGGAAGTAATTAAGTTGCTAAGAGAACTCTGCATACTGTAAGCGCCAACTCATTTCGATAGCAGTGAAAGGTCTGCACATACAGTATTCTAATTGCCCCGTTCCTTAGAAGCACGGATCGTGAGAGCACACTCATAACAAAACCCTGAGTTCATGGCTAATATGAGGAAAGAAGGGAACTCATGAATACACAGCTCTATAATCTGTTTTTTCTTTTTTTTTTGTCATTCCTGTCGCTGTTTCAATTCTATTTTTGGATGACTCAAGTTATTTTTCCCCTGAAAAAATGCTCAGAGTCAGGGGAAACTCTGAATGTGTAAATGTGAGACTGCAAAGTGCCCTGAGACCTACAACTGCATGTGAAGCAAAACATCAAACGGAAAGGGCAGAAAGCCAAAAAACACTGATCTGACACGGCACAGGACCAAAAGGTAACTCACTAAAGAGTTTAGTGGTATATTTGTGGATGAATCATTAGAAACTTGTATCTTTATATGTACTAAATTCTAATCATTGCCTCATCTGTGCTATGTGGCCGTGGGTCCTATAATGGAAGATAAGTTGCCACTCTTTGTCCATAATGACTGGCATAACCATCACATGCTATACGGCCACCCAGAACGTAAACTGAGCTGCCAAAATATGCCAAAATATGCAATAATATAAAACCAGGAAAACTACAGTCGCCTGGTAAGTAGTGAAGGAACAAATTGAAAAGGCATCTGTTATTGCCTTATTTAAGCCTAAATGTGTCACACAAAATTTGTGCAGGTATTTGTGCAGATAAACCTGTGTCTTTCTAATTTGCAATAATTATGGTGCAGCATGAAAGAAAACAATTAGTTGCACACAATGATTAATTTTTCAGGTTTGGCACTACTCTGTTTATTTATTGCTTATTCTTCTGGTCAAAATTTGATAAATCAGTCATGTCCGCACGACTGCAATAAAATAATTATAAGAGAACCTTTACTGAACGAGTTGAAGCACACATGCAGCGTGGAGGCGTGCCATAAAGATCCACATCTTACTTAGCTTTCTCCTCTTTCACTAACTAATCACTTGAAATAATTACTTAATGGAAAAATAGTCCCTGGTCATGCTGGGATTTATTCTGTTATGCTGTTTGTTCTGCACATATGTGGCTCTAAAGCTTCCCTGTAGTTCTGTTACTGGACATTCAAAATGCTAAAAAACTGTTAGCAGATCCTACTATGTTAAATAGTTATAAATTAAATGTATTTTGCACATAGGTTTAAAGAGTATTATATATTATATTGCTTTCTTTAGCTGCTGTGTAATAGATTCTAAACAATGGGTTGGATGGGTTGACCTTGGAGCAGCACAGAGTTATTCTTATTCATGGCACTTTTTCAAAAGCATCCACAAAAACTCTTTTGAAGCGTCTGACATAAAAGTGTTGTTGGGGGCAGCGGAGCCGCAGAGGCTCGTCTCACTGACCTTGACCACGTCCTCGTCTGTGGAGCGACATCGCACGGCTTCTGAAACGTCTGTCACAGAGGCGTCAGTTCCGATGGTCACCACTTTCACCGGGACGGCCACTGTCTTTCCGGTCAGGACAGCCGTGTTCAGAATCTCAGTGTCCTAAAGACAAAAGAAAAAAAAGAGGTAACAGATCATTTGAGTGGCAGTGTTGGCGATTTTCTAATCCACAGCAGAACAGATAACAGTAATTACCGGCTCTCAGAGAAAAAAAGAAAAAGAACAGCTTACAAGCGGTATTGAAAATGACTTGAAGAGCCTTTGAACAATCACTGCTCAATTAGTGATTATTGGGTAAACCACTGTGAAGTTGGAGGCACTGCTGGGTGGACAGCTAATAACTGATGGTAGCTGCTGAGCTCATTAGCCAGTGTGCTGCTGTTGCCACTAGAAGTTGATTTTTTTTTATATCTTGATTTGTTTGCGCTAAATCCAGTGCCAGTGGAACTCAGCTTGAACTTTCAGCATTTCCTGTCTCATTGTAAAATAAACTCAATCCTTGCAGTTTTTATAATTACTGTGAGAGTATTTATTAATGGTGAAATCGCTCACACTGCAGTGCTCTTCAGGAAACACTCACTCTGTTTCGACTTTTCACCAAAACACACCTGCATTTAAAACTTCATTTGCATGATGACTGACAGCTGTCAGACACTGAAAAATGTTCTTTACATGAGGAAAAAATCACCTCCTCCGGCGCAGCACAGAAACATGTATTGGTATACCAGCTTTTTTCCCTTTGAACGAAATGCAGTTTCAGGGTTCACTTTGTAGTGCGCTGTGTTTTAGAGTACCATTTACCTGTGCACATGGAACTGGTGGAAAGAGTATGCTTTTTTTCCTGGAACATTGTTAAAGACGCTCCATAAAACACTGTGCTGTACAAAGATGACAAATCAATATTACCAAAGATGGATTTATTCCTATTGTTTTATTACTCCTATATCCGTTGCTGTGAACATGATAAGTGACATATAAGTCTCCCGAATAACAGGTTTGCCGAGAAGATTATTTTTACCTTTCAGTCCACAGAAGTGCCAGTATAAGTGGAAACAAGTGTCAATGCAGCAACCCACTGCACTCATAATGTCTAGTGGGTGATGTGCAGGGGATCTGTGTGGCGAGCTGCTCTTGCTGTAGATAAATTACAGTGAACTACTGTCATCTTTTACCACTAACGGTAACAACTGTTATTTATTAACTGTGGTCAGCTTTTAATGGCTTTAACAGTTGATTTACACACAAGAGATGTGAATGGAATTATCACAAAAGATGTTGTTAATCCAAAGTGAAATGGTAATATTTTCCATCCATTTTCCTAACAGCTTATTCCCTAATGGGGTCGCGGGGGGGCTGGAGCCTAACCCAATAGTCCATGGGCAAGAGGCGGGGTACACCCTCCGCCAGTCCATCGCAGGGCCACACACAGAGACACACAAGTAAGAACAACCAGTCAGACACACACTCATTCCCAAGGGCAATTTGGAATGTTCAACCTAATATGCAGGTTTTTGGATGGTGGGAGGAAGCCGGATAACCTGTAGAGAACCCACACAGACACAGGGAGAAAAGGTCCTGGTTCCCCCAGGGACTCGAACCCAGAACCCTCTTGCTGTGAGGCAATGGTACTAACCACCACACCACCGTTCCACCCTGGTAACGTTTAGTAGTAGTTTTTTTTTTAGGTGTTCTACTATTCTTAATCATAGCTTGTGTGAAAAAGCACTGAATGCTGAAATGTGTGCATAGGCTAAAGGAGATACAGGCGAAGTCTATGTCTTCAGACATAGCCGAGACAGCCCTGGGTCCTCTACCTCACAGGCACACTCCTATTACTCTGAACAGAAATATTAACCTTTCATTATGAATACACACCACTTTTGTAAAAGAAGATAATTGGGACTCATTCAGAAAGGTCTGAGGTAACATTTACTCTTTAAAGTCACCAGTGGACTGTCTCTTCTGCCCATTCAGCCCGACCAGAAGAAACTGCCTAAATTAACCTCAGGCACCTCAAGAAACACTTCTTTCTGAGGTCAACGTGTATTTCAGTCTTTGAATTTTTATTTTTAGCGAACTGAATTCCCTTCAGCTACTTGTACAGCATGACAAAGGTCTTCTGTTTTCTATCTGTTATTTTCGCAGGCACACTGAAAAAGTTCAGCCCAAATTTATTTTATTCCAATAGGTAGGAACAGCAGGGCATCCTTTTTTTTCTTTCCTCCCTAGCACCTTGAAGCTTTGTCAGCACTGAAGAGATTTAGCTTCTCTTAGTTATCTTTTAAAAGAGAACTCTTACTCCGGAGCGATGCCTGTTGAATGAAATGTCACATTTGTTTAGAATTGTGTTGCTAAACCAGAAGAGCATAGACAGAACCAATCTACAGTCTCTGACTTCATGTCCATATTCATGTTTATTCCACAGTCACCAGGGAAGAGTACAAGATTTGTCTGCACTGTCAGCTCAGTTTCCAAACACTTCCCCTGTGTTTGTGAGCTTGTGAATCACACTCATTCAAAAAAGAAGAGAAAAAGAGGATTAGGTTTGATTGAAAGAAGCCTGGTCGTTTGTAAGACCATGCAGCTCTGGAGTAAATGATTATTAGCCGAGCCCAGAGATACCAATGGATCACAAAAAACACTTAATCTTCAAATAGCTTTCCATTACCATTTTATAGACTGTGACAGTGTTGTACACGGATATAAAGCCCCTCTTGCTGCAGCGTTTCCCTTAAAACCGAGGATTGCTGTAAATTAATTCACTGTCTACTGGGATTCCTCCATTTCCAGAGGGTCATCCATAATATATGTGGGGGTAAATGGCTCGGACCTGGTGAAAGCAGAGACTAAGTTAGATTACAGCAGTTGGAGATGACCCAGCAGGTTAGAAACAGCAGAGAGCCGAGCCCGGCAGTAATAAGCTTCATCGGGACTGCATCGCAATACATCAATGGTCCATGCACTCCCATGAAGACAGCATAATTAAACCAAAAACAGGAACCAGTGGTGCACATCAGTTCTGTAAAGCTTCATGAGTGGGAACATGATCAAATAGTGTAATAAGTTAAAATAGTGACTCTGAATTTTAGAACTCAATGATGTCTATCTTATTTCTTCTATTCAGAAATAATAAGAGCTGATGCAGGGACTGGATAACTACCAGTATAGACTGTATTAAATGTAAGTTGCTTGAAAAGAGCTACTTATAATGACAGTACTTGTAATATTTGTTGTTTTCTATAAAAAAAAAAAAAGTAAAGTTCTATTTGTCTATAAATATCTTTATTTTTTCCACAATTATGGTAACTAGTTTTAAAATTAGTGTGACCACAGATATGGTGCATTTTGGCAAAGTTTTGATTAAACTGATTTATCAGCTACATTTGTGGGCCATTACAACTCTAAATGGAGCCCAGAAAATGCCAGTTGCTTTTTTGTGGAAACCTATTCTGTATTAAAATGGTGATATTTCTAAAAGGTAATCACTAAACACAGTAAAATATGTGTTTAGCTTGCTTGTAGCTTGTGGTCTTTTGTTTTTTGAAAGTTGAAGCTGTATGCCCTAAAGAACAAATGCTGAGCTAGAAACATCAAAATGTATATGGAAAAAGGGACATTTCAGGCTTCTTGTTGACAGTTTAGGTTGAAATTTGTCTACATTGTTATGCTTTGATGATCATTTATATTACAAAAATGATGATGAATGATAATGATAGTAATGGCTTCCCTGAAAACGGTAGAAGTAATTTGACTCTTACTTGTTGATGATGGTGCTTGTGCACTCCCGTTTTAGAAAAACCAAAATCCCCAGTCTACAGGAGTCTTTTTGTTAAATAATCAGTTGGAGACTGCCTATCCGCTTTATCAAAGATCTCTCTGTTAGCATTCAGCACGCTGCTGTAGCTGGTAATGTGTTCTGGGCCGTAATTTCTGCCTATGTCTCGGCTGGATCTGAAAATAAGTGAGATTTATGGTGTCAGGCTGAGTGACATGTCCAGAATGAGAATTAGAAAAGGCTGGCTAGCCTGCTTTTGCGGTTCACTTCTGCTCCAATCCTGGACCAACACATCCATGTGCCGACCTCGCCTTAGCAGGTACAGCTTCAAATGGACAGTTTCAAGTACAGGATTTGTGTAGCTTTACTATTCATTGTACTTCACAATGAACATTAAAAGGTACATCTAATGTTTGTGCTGAATATTTGTTCTTGTTCATGTCAGTTTTGCCTGTCTGGAAGTTCTCAGTCTGAGGTATATGAGGCAATTGTTGGGGTATAATAGGCATTTTTGGTTATCTAGAATATCTCCTTTTAAATGAATGCTGTCTGAAATTGAGTGTTTGGGTGGTTTGGACGTGGTTCTCTGCTCGCGGGCAGGTTCATAGTCCTCACAGACGTTGTTCATTGCCTCATCACCAGAGCTGCGTGTGATTCATAACTGCTGAAGCACCACTCATCGTCTGGACAGTTCCCAACATCCTCGTTTTCAAATTGCCAGAAGAACTTTACATAATACAAACACCACCTGTTCATCCCAGTCGAACTGCCTGCTTCCACTTTTTGTAGAGCTTTAAGACCTAAATTCTCAGCTGCCTTCAGTCCTTCACCTGCTCCCAGTACCTATAACATCTTGATGACACATTGGACTGCATTTCATCACAAGTTTATCGTCTCCAAGAGGTAAGAACACTATACAGATTATGTTGCAAATTTGGAGGGCTTTTGGTGATCCTCTGGGCATCCCTATCTGTTTGTCCTGAGGTTTTCACCTTCAGACCAATGAAAAAGGCCAAACAGGAGTAGTTTGCTGCAGCTGCTAGCTGAAGTCTGCCCATATTTTACATTCAGTTAGTGGTGTGCCACCCCCTGAAGAAATCCTCGAGAACTCACTGTGTTATCAACCCCCCACCTTTTCTCTAACCATGTCTACTGTATATTGTAAATTAATCTTGTGTTGTCTGTCCATCATCAGCTTACCTCCACTGACCTGCCAGACAGACGCTTCCTGGAAACCGTTAAACCATAACACACCAAATCCTCACATATTTCAAAGAATCATATATTGGATTGGCTCCCTCCATTTACTTGGGTGACCAGGAGTTCC